AAGGTGTCAAGATTTTAGAATATTAATAAAACCTTGTTTAATAATAATAAAAAGTGTGTGTGTATGTACTTATGTACGCACGTAAGAAGTTATACTTCTTTGGCGTAACAGAACAAAAATAGCTAAAGATTTCATCCCGTATGTCACAACTCTTTGTTTGTAAAAGGAATGCAGCTAACTTCATCATGTCGCTTTTTGGCTGTCGGTGTGCGCGTGCATCGTAAATATTAAACTCTCAATATTTTTACCAAACGCGCCAAAAGAAGTATAACATCAAAAATCAAAGCTGAATTTTATTTAGTTATATTTTCGGAACCCCTCTACATTCTGAGGCGGTGATAAGAAATAAATCATTGTATCGTGTAGGTGGTCGAAGAACCGGCAATTACCAATTAAACGCCTCGTATTCGTTGGAAATTCCAAATTCAAATTCATTCCGCCGCCGACCGTCGACCGCGACGCACGTCCAAAATGGTAGCGTGAAATTTACGATAAATCAAACGTGACATTAAATTATACGATAAAATCATTTTTAACTGAGTTTTAATAACGAATAATTAGCCATTGGTATTTTTTTATAACTTCAGATTATTTTGGTTGATATAGAGTGGTAATAATACTTGAGTATTACTTTAAAGTGAAGATGTACAATTATCAGATGTTGGAGACTAGAACTTTTTTTATTTAATTTTTATTATTTAATTATATGTATTTTAAACTGTAAAAAACGGTTTACATGTTATTTTATTTTTAATGCAGCATACTTCCAAAGGGCCAAGCCTTTGTAAATAAAGAAATATTATAGTTGAACAAAAAACAAATCGAAATCGAATCTTCTGTAACAGTAAATCAACTACATACGTAATTATTCTTTTTAACTAAATGTTACACGGATTTCAAAACCTCATAAGTAATAAATCCATCTCTAGGGTGTAATATATTCTTTATGTCTTTACCTTTGATAATTCACAATAGGGGAAGACACTGAAGACCTTATTTTAATCAAAAATTTAGATTTTTTATATATTAAAAATATACCTTAGTCCAGAACACTCTCCTTTTTAGAAATCAGTAAACAGTAAAAATTTTAACTACAAAGTTTAGATATTTATTTATGTAAGCACTTATACATGGAAAAAGCTTTCAAGCTTTCATTTAGCTGTAACTTATCACTAGATGGCGCTTCCGTGCATCAGCTACTGTTTAACCGATACAAATTAAAATTATAATAATTGTAAAATATTTTTATTGTTTCATAGACAAAGATAAAAATATCAAAATTACAAATGATGAGGTGGAAAATTTTGAAAGAAATGCAATAATAGATCCACCCAAAATACTATTAACGAAATTTATTTTTAAGAAGACGTTGTAATTTTTATATACTCTACTAACTAATTATTGACAGACAAGCACTTCTTTTTGTTATATTAAAAGTTTCCAAACACATTATGCACATAAAAACTTTGTGAGGATTTTCCTATGAAATCTCAAGAAATATATTCGAATATAATAATTACTGTTAGATTTCTTTCACTTTAATACAATTTTTAAATTTTCTATTCTATCTAGAATATGGAATTCTCGTATTTTAATATTGCAATTTCATAAACTTATAAATTTGCTTTAAGTTTTTTTCAGGAAATAAAAACAATTTATTCTGTAGGGTGTTTTATTAAAAGTTTAATTTTACGATACATATAATATATGTGTTAGATACAAGATGTGTGTATTGATTTAGTCCTTATTATATTTACAATAATTTATAAATGAGCAATTTTAATGAATAAAATATAACTATTTAAAACATATTTCTCAAAAACAAAATAATATTTATTTCAATAATTAAACATTTTATTTTTTTAAATACATAATAATATTGGCAACAATTCCATCTTAAAAAACCAATTAAGTTCGGTAAAATTTCATAAAACTGAAATATTAACATTTTTAATACTAGATAATAAAATTATTAATTCAAAATTAACGTAACTTATTGTTAAACATTTGAATTTAATTCCATTACAAAAATATTTAATTTCAATTTTTAACAATATCTTCTAATTAATTTAAATATTATTATTAAATGCAATTTAATATTAAAAATTGATTTAAAACTTAGTAGATTTAATTCTTTGTAAATTAATTGTATTATTTTACAAATAATGATATCAAGAAACAAAGAGCAGTCTAAAAAAGGTTATTAAAGTAAAGTAAGTAATAAAATGAGTATATTTCCAGTATCTAATGGCTATTACATACATAAATTAAAAAAAAATTTTTGTAAATTAAATCGGTTTTAAAATGTAATTTTTCAAATTATAACTTAAGGTAGATAATCTTTAAAGTTGACAACACAATAAAAGATACAATTAAAAATATAAAATCATATTCGAATAGAGAATTTATATTTTTAATGTCAGTTAAAAAATAAAATATGGACAAATGAAATGTCTTTTTTTTTAATTTTTTCATCCAATGTAATTGTTTAACAACTAAGTACCTACATAAAATATACATACATACATAAAATTTTCATAAAAAATAGGTTAGGCCCCTTTAACTCTAACATTACAACATTTCCATTATGCTTTCTATCTAAAAAATATTCGGGTGATATAGTCTCTCCCGTGACCATGATTGCTGTAAAGCATTCATGGTCACGGGAACCAAAAATCAAAATAAATCCGCGAAATAATAATTTTATTTAAAATGTCAAATATTCGCGTAAATCTAAGAAAATATTATGAAGTGATTAACAAAAATATTATGTATATAACATATAATATTTATACTAAGTGCTAAAAATATATTGGACATACATATTACTATTATAGTTACTTTTCATTAGTTTGCTTCAAAGAAGAGGTTTTATACACAAACGAACGGTTCCATTAAAGCGAGAATTTACTTGAGATCATCAAATATTTTAAGCAGTATGTTATTTATTTTTTCTAATACAATATTATATTTATTTATTACTCATCTTCGTTTCCTTTTAAGCATAGAACCTACTCTTTAAAAGGATATTCGAATGACAATATTCTATATACTCAGACTAAAGAATTATATAAATGGAGTCCGCCAAAATAAGTGTCAAAGTCAAGAATGGTAGCGTGATTTGCTATTTATGCTACTTTTCTCGATTTTGCCATACAGATCGTTTACTTTCTTTACAGAATAAGAGAAATTGTATGTTATATGTAATAGTTAAGTTAATAGGTATACAATTTTTGCGAATAAAATATTGATAATAATTATAAAAATAATAATATATTCTTTTGTATTTTTTAAGCATTATTCTCTTCCCATTAAAAGCGAGATAGCATAATATTACCTTATTTAATTACATTATTGTAATAAAACCTGTTGTCAATTTTATTGACATTTGTTTACTTTATTACTCAGTATACAAATCGTCATATTATGTATACTATTTTAAATCATTATTATTTAGCTTCATGTTTCGTTCTATGATACTTTGTCTATATTATTCCTAAGTTTGAGGATAAATAAATATATATTACTATATATTTATCTATATTGTATAGATTTAATAATAACTTGTGCATAAAACTAAAATAATCACAGTGCAAATTAGTTATTCAAAAAAATGCCTATTAGTAACTAAAAAATACTATTAGGCCTATATTACAATATATTTTTATAAAAATATAATTACAATCATTAAAATCACAACGCAAGCATTAATAAAAAATAAATATTTATTTATAAATTAATACTAAAATAAAATTAATTAATTATCATTACATAGTAATAAATTTAATTATTATTTTAGTAAATATTTGTGCTATACCTGTTATATTGTATTATAACTATATTTAGATTAATATTAAATATAGTATTTAATCAATTATACTATAATAATAATTATCGTGAAGATATTTCTAAGATACTACATGTTTAAACATTTGGCTTTTTAGGGCGTAGCTTATTAGATACAATAAATTAAAAATAAATTGAAATATATTCATTTAAATATTGTCAAACACTTGCAACTATAAATTTCTATATAATTTAGTAATTTTCACCCATATTCATAGATTTAGGCCACAATATTAGAATACTACTGAGTAAAAGAACTTTCTAAAAAGGTTAAAAAAATAAAAATAAAAAGATACATAGAACCTCATCCTTTTAGGAAGTTGGTCAATAAATAAAACTATTAATTATATTATTCTAATTTTATAACAAATAATATATAAAAACAATAACATAATATAATATTATGTTTTTTTAGTTTCTATTATCCTGATAAATTGCCATTACATGACGAAATACATAATTTTAAATACCTTATTTATTTGATTCATTTTTATATAATAATATGAATGTCATGTAAACTTTTAAATATATAAGTGAGCATTTACTTAAATTTTTATAAGATAATAAAAACTATTGTATAATAACATTATAAATACATAATTTATTCCTTTTAATTTACTTTACGCCGTTTTCCCCAAAAAATAATATCTAGAATAAAAATTATTCTAAAATATAAGCTAATGAAATTAGTGTCTTTATTTTGTTTCAAAGGTAAGAAAGTATAATTGTCAACTAACTTTAAGTAAAAGGAGGTTTTTTATAGTTAAATGTTTGCGCCTACGCCATTTTCTTGGCAATGGATTTTTATGACTCTTTCACTGATAATATTAGATGTATCTTATTCTCTTGCATATTTTATACTTAGAAAACCTTTTCATTACCACCCTTTCTAATATAGAAAAAGAAATTATTATTTTTTAATTATATAAATTAATTAAACTAAATTAATACTTAAGGTCGGTATATTTTCATACTTCTAACACAAATAATATTATTGCTTTTAAAATTACTGAATAAAAGCTTTTAATATAACTTAAGAGAGCCTTTTAAACTTTTTAAAAGAAAATCACTAATTCCAAAACCATAAAATATAATATATTTCATAATAACGAGTAAATTTAGCTATTTATAATAATTTATTACGTATCAGATCATACACCAATATTGGGTGTTTTAACGAAATAAGTCACTAATGTCCCTTTCCCTTTAACAAACGTCGGTCCGCGACACTCGCACGTGTATCCCGCGTTCATTAACACCCTGAAAATATTATATATTACATAAAATAAATAATATTTTATTAATTTTTCAATTTTATTATTTTAATATATTACTGTATTAAATAAATTAATTGTTATTTTTAATTTTAGATTTTGTTATATAGCAATTTTTAAGAGAAATGTGTTTGCATTGAAATTTTTGCAGGCGCTTAGAAATATTAAGTTATTAATGCTTAAATATAAATTATAATTGATGACGGAAATAGTTTATTAAATTGCATTGAAAGAACCTAAATTAAATACTGCTGTAAAAATAAGAAGGTCAAACGTGTTATATAAAATCCTTTGCTATGATATTTAATATAAAAGAAATGCGACATATAAAGTAATTAAAATACTAAAAAGTAGCTAAATATTACTTTCTACTGATTGATTGGCTAATTCTACAAATAACTAAACCAAATATGATGAAACTTACTTAGCAGTGTCCTCAGTCACGTGTATTTTGCCCATGAGGCCGGTGGAGTCCATACGAGATGCCACATTCACTGCATTACCCCATATATCGTACTGTGGTTTTTGTGCACCCACCACGCCTGCTATTACTGGCCCGTGGTTTAGACCTAGAATGTGTTTGGTAATAATTTAAACATAGACCAAAAAAGTACTAGATACACAATCCGATGCAAAATTTCTCACAAAACTGTCACCAATTGTGTTTAGGTAATTATTCTAGTTGAAATAAATATGCAACAATGTAAATTGAACCTTAAATACAATGCTTGTTGTTTTCACCAGAAAAAATTAAATTAAAAGCGCTCTCAAATATTCCAACGAGCGCTTATTCGGTGATGACATTTTTTATCGCTGATTGACACAATTATTATAATTAAAGATTTTTAAATAATAGGTGCAATTACTTCAAAAGTTTTTTTTTTCTAGGTAACACTACTAAAATATTGCAACCTACTATTATTACGATCTAGCCAAAAGTATATGAGATTCAAAAGTATATGAAAACTCACTCACACAGACACAGTCACTGAGTATTATTGGACTATTTTAAATATTGATCTTGTTTTATAAAGAATTGTACTGACTTGAAAAATAAATATTCTACTTTTAGGAGTGGAAATTTTTGAACCCACACCATGCCGTATTTTATATATAAGTAGGTATATATTTACTAAAATAACATACAAACACAATATATTTATAATGGTTATTTTATAAATTATAAGTAAAATTACGCAAATATGATTGAGTCATGTTCATTGAAACACATTAATTAATTTTTCTTTAATTAGTATTTTTTAAACTTTAAATTATTTATAAAACTCCCTATGTTCATTAAAAAAAAAAAACAATTTAATATTCCAAAAAAGATGCTATTTAAATGAAGTTTCTTACCTATCCTTAATTTGAACCTCTGAAACGACTCTCTATTGATTTGATCTAATATCGTCATGAGAGCGATCGCAAACTCCACCAAAATGGCCACAGTATGCTCTTCTTTACTATTGCCATCCTAAAACATAAAGATTCAAAATCAAAATAGACTTTTTACAAAGACTTTAGAACCGTCAATTTTACATTTTAAATTTAAATTTAATATCAGTATGTAAGTCCATAAGGAAGCTACCATCGGCTCGGAAAGCAGTTTTGCTGAGAAGATCCGACGAGAAACTCAACAGTCGGTCTTTTTAAATTTTTCATGTTTACAGCAATCATGATCACGGGACAAACTAAAGTCTCAAAACTCATTCCATAATTGTAAGAGTATCTACGGATCTACCCATAAAATTAGATACAACAATTTGAAAGATTATTATATTTTCAACTAGCGACTCACGCTCGCTTCGCTGGGGTTCGTCCCTAGGTACGTTTGGATATAGTATGTTATCCTTAAGAGATAGATATATGCCATCACAGACGTTTCTGTAGACCTATATAAGATACACAATTCCACCATACATTATTTTGTTTTGGCAGCGTTTTCGTTGAAAGCCTCAGACAGCTTTTTTTTTTCAAACACCTTTAACAAATATCGTTATATTTTAGCCAATGTATAAAAAATCTAACAAGTTATATACTAAACCTTTCTCGAGAACCACTCTATCCATCGGTGAAAATAGCATGAAAATCGATGCAGTAATTTTTGAGTTTATCGCGAACAGACAGACAAACAGACGCGGCTGAAGACTTTGTTTTATAATATGTAGTGAATTACTCTGGGAACCAATAATCAAAAAATAAATATAAAATAGTTTTAGAAAAGACCACTCACGATCTGCTCCTCCTTGCCGGGCCGCAGTCCGGACGCGATCATGTACGTGCTGCCAATGGTCTTTATCTTCTCGATGCAACTGAACTTCGGCTTTAATAATAACTGGAATATAAATATGTTTTATTAAATATATTTTAATTTTTAAATATTTTGTGGCTACTTTATTACATGTATCTTAAAAATTGCTCCAGCGGTCGCGGATTCGAGTCTGAGTGCATTCATTTGTGTGATAAGGATGAAAGTTTGTACTCCAGTCATGGCTGTTTATATTTAAAGTTATATGTATATGTGTAGTGTATCAACTATCTGGTATCCATAACACAAGCCTCGTAGCTTACCATGGAACTAGATGGTGCTATGTGTTAATGTCACAACATATTTATATATTTTGTAAGTAACTACCGCGTATGAACACGGGAAAATCATACATGGTTTTTGTTGTACGCTATTGTTTTGATTTAGTTTTAAAAGAATTGTTATGTAAATTTTGATAAAAAATAAATACAAAACGGATACCTTATCAAAGTCACATATGATCTCGTTGAGCAGCCGCAGACACTCGAGGCCCTGCTTGTTGACGTCGGTCTCGTCGTAGAACTCCTTGTAGTTGGGAATCGAAGCAAACATCACGGCTATACTAGAATAGCGCTCGTGGTATAATTCTTCCTGGAATTGTCAGGAATGAAATCAACCTTTTGATTCTTGCACGAATTCGGTTTAAGGTTATATTTTTCTATTAAATATACGCTTAATCTGGTAAAGTGTATCGTGTAATACACATACACACAAAGTATGTTTCTGAAACGTATGGGTTGTATTGAGGTATAACGTTTCCATGGAAAAAAGAATCATTTAAACGCATACGCAGACATTTAAGGCATAAGTCAAAATTCAATAAATAATTCCAAACATTAAAAACATAAAATGAAATGGCAACAGGTCACAGTGACAACTTACGATCAACGGAAGCCCTTTAAGTTAAAGGCTAAAATCTATAAATTCGTAACAAGACTTGTCGTTATGTATGGATCGGAATGCTGGACTACGAAGAATCATCAGTGGGCTTCGAATTAGATTTATCAGTCATAAAAGAAGATTGCATGCCTGATGACAATGTTATATGGATTTATGGAGTGACGAGAATGAATAAAATAAGGAATGAGAATATAAGAGGAAGTTAAAAGTAGCACCAGTGACAGAGAAGTTGAAAGCAAGTCGTCTAAGTTGGTATGAACATGTGAAGTGAAGGGATGAAACTCATGTGATAAGAAGAGTGATGGATATGAATGTAGATGGATGAAAAGGCAGAGAAAGAGTGACGAAAAGATAAATAGATTGTGTGAGACAGGACATGAAAGAGAAAGGGGTGAAAGATGAGAGGGGTGAAGGGATGAATTTTTTTTTAATTTTATTTTTAGTGTATTAAAGGATTAAATAAATAAATCAAATAAATGATGAGATGACGAGTGATAGGGGAGAATGGAAGAGGAATACTTACCGTGTTGACCCTAAGTAATTTGGGAAGAAGGAATATAACAAAAATGGAGGGCAGAGAGAAGAAAAATATCAAAAATTAAAACCAATACTACCTTAGAAGCGACTGAGGTTAGGAAGTGTTGAGCGACATGAGCTGGTAAAATGTTCTCGAGAAGGATCTGAAAATACAGATAAAATAAAAATTTCATAAGTTTTTTCATTTAGATAAAATACGTAGTAGCCATCCACAAAATAATCAAAATGTACATAACATTAACCATTCCTTATCTACACAAAATACCCATATATCCACATAGGTTTTATTTTTAATACCTTTCACGCTTCGTTGAGATGCGCCCCTGTTTTATAATAAAATTTATTTATAATATTTTTTGTAGATAATGCCACATTTTGGCAAATTTCATACTATAGAGAGCATGGATTGCTTTAGGTCATAATCTATGTACAAAATTTCATCCAAATCCGTCCAGCCGTTTAACGTGAAAGATTAACAAACATACAAACAAACTGCTTAGCATGATTAAAATCATACATTACATACTCATACAACCAATACACGTAAAACCCCATTAAAATATCTTACCTTATTAATCCCCCTCATAGTTTCAACCTCCTCTTGCTCGAACTTCAGCTTGTCCTTCCACAAGAAGTCCGTTCTTGAAGTGAACTCTATTTGCCTATCCAGGATATGAAGGAGTGCTGCTAAAAACACTAGAACTAAACCTGCTTTTGCTGCATAAGGCAGCATTGAGAACCTGGAAGGGGTTGTTTATAGATTTGTGAACATTTATTAGCTTTTATTTATACAGATGAATGAAGTGTCTGTTTGTAATCTATATACTAATATTATAAATGTGAAAGTATACGAGTAAGGACGTTTGTTACTCTTTCACACCATAATGGCTGAACGGATCTGAATGAAATTTGGTACAGAGATAGATTATAGTCTGGAATAACATATAGGTTACTTTTTATCCCAGAAAAAATTACGGTTCCCGAGGGATATGTATGTTGTGCTACTAATGCTACTAATGCATATGAAATTATAAACGATATTTATAAGAAAAACACAATTTTTAACATTTTTATGTGTCTGTTTTTCGGCTAATACGAGGCTTTTACTGGCAATTTGCTGATGTTATAAGGAGCAACTTAAGCCACTTTTATTTTAAAATAATAATAAGGGTTCTCTAACCTACGTAACTCCTTATATTAACATCAGCTATCTGTCAGTGAAAGTCCCGTAAAAAGCAGTCCAGCCATTTCGGAAATTAGCCGAAACAAACAGACACACAAACAATTTAAAAATTGATTTTTCTCTTATAAGTAGGTACCTTATATGCTTTCATATGCATTTATTAAAAAGCTGTTATTTTGACATTACAAATAGACACTTCAATTTTATTTACTTGTATAGATTGACAAATAGTTGGTGGGTTGTTATATACAATAGGTTTCAATGGCTATTGGTAGATATACTACTTTATTAATAGTACATTGTTTTAAACATTAAATAGACGGAAAGCTAAAAATTGGTACACTGTTAAGAATCTTAATTTGCTTTCGCGAATCCTTGCTTTCCATCAATGAACAAAATTGATTAAGGGATTGAAGGAATTGATGATCTATTTAAAATTTTCCTTATCAATAATATAAATTTGACAAAAAAGTTATTGGGATCTACCACAAGTTACTCTCACTCGAATTGTTTATTCGCTAGTGAATATAAAATAATGGATTTTTCTACAAGCTTCCAACCCCTTTTTACCTCTTTAGGGGTAAAAAGGGGTTGAAAGCTCGAGTTGGAAGCTGAATTTCATTTAAAGTAACTATTATATACTTACTCAGTATCTGGATCCTTATTCTGGTATTGAGAAAATAATTCTGCTGAAGAAAATAACGTGATATGTCCAATTAATGTCCCGATCATTAAAAATAGTTTCAGTACGAAGCCCAATCGGAGGAACACCGAAATGGACGCTAACGTCAGTACTGAACTGTAGAGATAACTCTAAAACAATAAAACGTAAATTAATACTAGGGATATACCCTCGCTTTCGTCCTTAGGTACGTTTGACGTTTAGTATGGAATAAATAGACTATACGAGTATATACGTAGGTATGATGAGTTTTATACAACAGGACCCCAGAAAATGTTCAAAAGGCTTCTATCGCTAAATTCAAAAAAAATGTTAAAGAACGTTAGTGTGCTAAAGGCTATTATACAATAAATGATTTTATAGAAGATGGCACTTCTTGGGAATGAAATGATCGCCTCCAGGCTATTTCAACTTGATAGAAATATTGTAAATTATAATTTTACTTTAAAAAAGATAACAAGTTAATATTAGTCTCGCTGAGTTTCTTTCGCCAGTTCTTCTCAGGTCTGAGGCTTCTTCTTTCCAAACTGGTAGTAGACTCATGACGTTCAGTAAAAAAATGTAATAATTTAATGCTGAATAAAATATTTTGAATTTTGAATATCCCTTAGGGGCCATTCAAGTATTACGGAAGCAGAATTTTAGTAATTACTAATCCCTCCCTCCCCCTGTCAGCAAAAGTATGCAAAGCTCTTACTCCCCCCTTCTATGTTTACGTAAACATTGGTTCATATATTTTTTAATCTGTTTAAGTTTTTAATTGTTATTCCTAAGCAGCAGTTATCATCAAATCTAGAAATAAGGTATTTATAGGGGAATTTAATGTACATCTATACTAATATTATAAAGAGGGAAAGTTGTGAGTTTGTGACGTTGTAGGGAGTAATCCCTGGATCTACAGAACTGATTTAGATGAAATTTGGTAAGAAGATAGTTTGAGACCCTGGAAAGGACATAGGATACTTTTTATCCCGTAAATCATCCCTTAAGGGGGTGAAAATGGGTTTGTATTGTAAAGCAAGCAAGCCGAGCGAAGCGAGGGTTAGCCGCTAGTTTATTATATTTTGATTGGACGAATCAAAATTACTAAATTTTGCAGAAAATCCAAAAACTTAATAAATAAATATTGCTGACCATCATCACCATCCAGAGACGCCCCCCAATTTCATGAAAACTAAGCAAAGCAAAGACCCCCCACCCGCCTTTGGTGCTTACGTAATATTTGAAAGGTCCCTTACTTGAGAAATAGTTAATTCCTCATACTCCATATTCTATTCACAAAATATTGTCCTATATCCTTCCCAGGGTCTCAAATCATCTCCATACCAAATTTCATCTAAATCTATTTAGCGGATTAAGCGTGAAAAGGTAATAGACTTTATAAATAATATAATAAAGTATGCTAAACAGTAGTGCTAGCTGTATATCGATACTAATATTATAAATGTGAAAGTAACTTTTGTATAGAGATACTTAGATAGGATCTTGGAAAAGGACATAAGCTACTTTTTATATAATAATTATGGCACGGAAAAATTTAAAGACTACTTTTTGTCGAATAAGTTTACGGATGAAATGAAAGTATGAAAGTTCTATGTTATTACTTCTACATACAAAGATGAGTTATATATTCTGGTATATTATATGTATAGAAAATAAATAAATTATTAATAAAGATTAAGAGGATTGTAGGAATATTATTACAAATTTATTATAAATACAAAAGCCAACCGAACAAAGCTAAGTAAAACTTCATAGCTTACCGGAGCAGAATCAACGTCTAGATATATCGGTATTCGCGGAGCACTCGTCGCGTTCCAACTGCTGCTATTATTTAAATCTTCTGGAAAGTCTTGTATAATATATCCTTGAAACTGAAATAGAAAAAATAACAATATATTTATATATTTTTTATACAATTAGTAAAGATTGTTTACTAATCTTATGTCATTGAATAGATCTATACATATGTATAATAAAATCCTGAGTCAAATCTGTACAGTAAATATTTTTTGAAAAATCTTATTAAGATATTATCAATGCAGAGGCCAAATCTATAGTTTTTAGAATTTTTGTCTGTCTGTCTGTTTGTCTGTCTGTCTTGGAACGCATCAAGTAAGCCACTGTACAATTTTTGACGAAATTTGAAATGATGGTAGCTGGTTATCCGTGTCAATGTATAGGATACTTTTTGTTGCGGGATAATATCTCATCTATCGGCTAAGTGTTAAAAATAAAATAAATAAAACTACCTTTTGGGATTTTTTCACGTATTTAATTTAATTTTTGGTTTCTGGAGAAAAGTCCAAAAAATATAGTTTATCCAAAAAGTTATTAAAAAAATCAAGCCATACCAAATTTATAACCGCGCAGGAGCTTATTAAAACCACTGATATGACGAACATGGTCAGTCTTATGTAACAATTGTTGGCTACTACCTGGAAATTTAAAAAAAACACACAATTTAATATAACTAGTTCGATTCCAGGTTTAGAATTGTAAATTAGTGTTGATCTTATTTATTAATCAATTTTAAGACATAATTATACCATAAGACATAGTACTAAAACTCGCTTGTATATTGTTTTTCTGTATGGTACGCGACACCTTCCATTAATTACGAATTTATTTACTTTTATAATAATATCTCTAAGATACGACAAGAAAAAAATATAAAATATGTCAAAAATTATTTTAATTTACGAGTACTTTGTTAACCGACGTTACAAGCCTTTTTTTTATTTTTTCTGTTAGTAAGCGCCCGATTTATTTAAAAAATGTACGTTTTTTTAATTCTGCTTGGAAAAATCTAGAACATTCAAAACATTAAAAAAATAATTATACAACTTTATCAACAAACTAACATAGTCTACACACCTGTCCTGGCTTCGAACAGTTGTCTACATACAAGTCGTCGGGTACGTCTGACAGTAGGAGACCTTCCCTCCCGTCCGACCATGAGAGATACAGAAATACTAACAATGTCACTAATGTCGGCCCAAAAGACGCGTAGATTACTATGCCTCTGGAATAAAAATATAGTAAAATACACATATTTGGTGATCATTTTAATATTTCATCAGAAAAAATAGCATGTATAATTAAAAATATCTTAAAAATACCAACAATGTTACTTAAATCAAACCGAACGATGCGCGTATTGTATATATAGTATAAAAAAGATAAATAAATAATTATTGGTATAAATGAATTAGTCGTATTGTAAAAAAGTTAGTATAAAAAAGTACATACTATAGTAATAATATATGGCGCCCAATGTGGGAGTAAGTCATATTTTATTATCTGTTTATCAAAGAACATTTAAAGAATAATAAATGAATATGTTGTGACATTAACACGCAGCACCATCTAGTTCCATGGTAACGAGCATGGATACGAGGCTTGTGTTATGGATACCAGATAGTTGATATACTTATTATAAATATATAACTTTAAATACATACATATTATAAATATGTATAAACACCCATGGCTGGCGTACAAACATTCGTGTTCACCACACAAATGAATGCCCCTAGCGGGACTCGAACCCGCGACCGCTGACGCAGCAAGTAGGGTCACAACAAACTGAGCCAAACGTGTCGTCTAAATTTATATATGTAGTAAGATTCTTGTAACTTTAAGACATTAAAGGGGTAATTTTACGGTAATTATACATTATTACTTTCTACATACAAAGACTGTTTATTTAGCGTATGGTCTCATGTTTGTCGCTGTTTGCATATATTTAACTTTAAATACATACATATTATATTATATACACCCATGACTGGAGTACAAACATTCATGCTCATCACACAAATAATGTGAATGCCCCCAGCGGGACTCGAACCCGCGACTGCTGGCACAGCAAGTAAAAACTGAGCCAAACGCGTCCTCAAATAATGTAAAATAATTTAATTAAATAAAATACAGATATAAATTTCATTTAAAACCATATTTTTGATGAGAAACTAGATGTGAAGATTATGGACATAGTTTATAAGTCAAATAATGACATATTAGATAGAAGTTGACTTCAAATTGCTAAGATATGATAGTGTAAGAGTTACTGAGTTTTTCTATCACGAAATATTCAGAAACATCAAGATAAGAAAAGTCGATGATATGTTCAATCTTGTGTCCCAAAAAACACATTAAGCATATATTTAACTGACGAAAAAAAAGAAGGTTCTCAATTCGACACGTCTATTTTGTTTTGTTTTTATGTTTGACCACGCATACTTTTTACAGTGTACTCCTGTGATTTCTATGACGACGCATCATTCGTTAGGAATGACAAACATACGAAAATTCTTTTTTTTTATATAGATAAATAACATAATACTTACTTAGGTACAGTCAATATCTGAATAAAAGCGAGTAACATGAACAAAGCAGTGGAACACGCGATGTAATACTTGAACTGTGCGTCGGGCTGGTTCCTGTACTGTCTCTCTTGGTTTCTGTTTTGGAAACCTAATGTGAGTGGTATTAGGCCTTCTGAGTTGTTGCTGAAAGAGAATGGAAGTTAGTTGCAGTTCCATGTCCGTATGAGACAAGTATGTAGTAAAAACTGAGAATTTAGGAATGCAATATTATTACAATTGTTTATAAAAAAAACATTTAATTATAAGTAGGTATAGCTTATGTTAAACAAAAAGGTATATTTTTTTTATTTTAGGAACTATTGTTGACATCAATTTACCTGCAATCGCAACACGTTCTTTGAGGAAGTAGATGTTGTTCGATCATTGCTAAGCTCTGAAATAAAGCAATGATTATATATTAAAAAAAAATCTATGCTAATATAGTACTATCATCTGTGACTGAGGATTTTCGTCTTGACTATTAACTAGTCAAAATTGTCACACAAGTTTATATAGATAGACCTTACCCATTATTACGTAAGTTGTCCAAAGAAATTCAAATACTTAGGATAGGATGTAATTCTACATAAGAATAGAAATAAAAAAAACATTCATATGACACAAATCGTTATGTCATGTATTCAGCCTTTTTTTTAACGTCCCACTACTGGGAGTGGGCCTCCCGTCAATACGAGGGGGATCAAGCCATAGTCCACCACGCTGGACAAGTGCGGGCGGACTGACCATGTCTTTCGAGAACTTGCTAAGTTCTTTTAGATATGCAGGTTTCTTAACGACATTTTCCTTCACCGTAAGACAAATGGTAGGGAATCTTGTTGGAGAATGATTCGCACATGAAAATATCAGAAATTCGGGAGCCGGGGTTTGAAACCGCTTCAATCGATTGTTTAAGCAAATGCATAGCCACTTCACACTTTCCAGCTTCGACTGCTTTTCGTTATGTTATAGAATTATAATATTACATTCTCATATATTTCTTATTTTTCTATTCTATAACGATTGTAGAATAACGTCTTCTGTAAGCCCCTAGATAAAATTATAAAGAATATATTGGGACGTTAATACTTTACTTATATAGGTATATATATATTATGAATATGAATATGAACACCCATGATTGGAGTACAAACATTCATCATCACACAAATGAAAGGGACTCGAACCCGCGACCACTGGCACAGCAAGTAGGGTCACTACAAACTGAGCCAAACGCGTCGTCGAATACGTACTAGAAAGTGTGGATAATATTTAATATTTTTCTATATTTTACATTACTTACAGAAATACCAATATTTTTGGCTAAGGTAGAGTCTGTGATGTTCGCAAACGGTTTATCAGCTCCCCAACATTCAACGTATTTAGTCATTTTGCTCGACGGTCGCGATCTAGTTGGTACTCCCGGTGTTGCTGAAATATAAAAGACATTATCAATATTTGTTTAATGTATTTTTTTTTTATTATTGCAACCCTGATTCTGTATGAAGTGAATTTTCGGCAGCCGTCATAAGGAAAGTCACCCATCTCTCATTACTTTACATTTATAATATTTTATAAAATATTATGTATTATTTTTGAGTTTATATAAAAAAATTAAAACGATGAACTCGAATATTAGCCATTTCTTATAAGGATTGATATATAATTTCATCTTTTTTGCTGGTCCAATAAATGTACCTATTTCTTAAATCTCACAATGGGAAAAATTAAATAACATTAATCTCTATCTTTCATTGGTCACGCACAAGCCATTGGTTAAGTTTATTCAAAATTCAATATTTATATAAATTATTATTTATTTTATCTATCTTCAACCCAAGACGTTTTTTAAAATATTTTTTTAAATGATGAAAAGTTCAAGATCTGTAAACTTAATTGCTCCAAAAGTAATTTATACATTAACTAGGTACGTTTTAAGGGTTAGTATAGATTATTCAAAGAGATATTTTTCCACAATAAAAAGTATCCTATATGTTGACCCGGATAGCCAGCTATCACCATACCAAATTTCATCAAAATCTATCCAGTGGTTTTTTCGTGGTGCGTTCCCTGACAGACAGACAGACAAAAATTCTAAATTAAATTTGGCCTCTGAATGGATAATAATGCCCTATTTCAATAAGATTTTCTAAAAAATATTTAATATACAGATTCGACTCAGTTAGAATTTTACTATATGTATAGATATGTATCTAACAGAATAATTAATTTTATAATATGACTACTCTATTGTAAATCATTCGTAAAAGGGATAGTGGGATATTATTTATTTCAATGAAACTAAGGGATGTTGGATTGTCATGCCTCGTTTAGTTACTGTTCACTAATACACAAGTGCCATATCAATTTTATATGAGTTTTGACCTACTTCAAAAAGGATAAGTCGATTTGATTATAGCGCATTGGAAGTGTATTGTGGCGGAAACAATTCTGAGTTAATTTTCATCATTCTTTTTTTATAAAAAGATAATATAAATGTAGGGCCTTTTCAATAACCGTTAAAGTTAAAAATATAACTTAGTTCTTTTCGACCGACTTGAAATAAAGAACACATAATAATGTGCTTTTAAGTGTGAAGCTATATTTAGTCACGTCACGTTTAGACGTCAGTCTAGTTAAGAATTTAACACTGCAAGTGTCTTAAATTTAAATAGCTAATTTCATATTTCTGGTATCAAATGTTATACTGTTTATTCCGTAAAAGAAAATAAAATTCGAATAATATACTACGTTTCTTCTTTTTTCTTTCTTTCTCTATAGTTCAGGCTCGAACCGTGACCTAGTTTGGTCACGTGTCTAGACGCAATAATGTGGCCATCGAACGATTAGTGGTCGAGGGAAGAGTAGAGGGCACTAGAGCGCGTGGTAGATCGGCAATGAGATGGGTAGACGGTGGCGAATAATCGAGCGGGTTACAAGACCTATATGATGACAACGACCAGTCTGTTAAGACTGTAACGACTAAAAAGAAGAATACTTTTCCACACTTCTCCTATGTTTCTATATGTCTTCTTTACAAAACCAAATCCATGGTAAAAAAACACATTATCTCTCTAATATTAGTCAAAATGGAGGGGTTTGTGCAAAGGTTCGTATGTATGTATGTTTGTACGTATATATGTAACACCAAGTGCATACATGCCGTCGGTAAAACTAACTTAGCGACTCCACAGACATAGTACTTAGCATTCGGAGATAAAATGGTTGAGCATCTCGTGCGGGCGGAGATTCTGATTCAGAATCTGTAGCGATATGAAATTACGTATTAATAATACATTTGAAGTCGTCTTTATGTTTGTTTAAAAACACTTTAATTATCGTTGAGTTTAAAAACAATAATATTTATTGAAAAAAATTGAAGAACGTGTGTATTACTTATTAATACTTTATGTTTAAAAGAAATATTACTTATTTTATTAATCTCAGGCTGATAAATGATATAGACTGAGTGTCATAGAACTAAACATGAATCCAAACAACACTAAAATAGTAAACAAATGACAATTTAGATACTGAGTAATAAGTAAATAAATGTTAATAAAAAATAGCTAACGGATTTTATTATAATACAGAAAAAATATTAAATAAGCTATATGATACTATCTCGCTTTCAAATGGGAAGACAACTAAGGCTTAAAATACATAATAATATAGTATTATTTTTATTATTCATATTTTAATCTCCAAAATTGAATATAAATTTAACTAAAGCATATATAAAATTTCCCTTATTCTTTAAAGAAAGTGAACGATCTGTATGGCAAAATCTAGAACAGTAGCTTAAACAGCAAATCACGCTACCGTTTTTGACTTTGACATTTATTTTGGCGGACTCCATCTGTATAATTGTTTAGTCTGAATAATAAATATATTTTCTCTTAAAACTTATTTTTAATAGACTATCTAGTTTTGACCGACTTCAACAAAAAGGAGAGTATCTTTTTGTTATATGACTGACACGTTCGTCATTGTCATTTTAACACGATTTTGATGAATCTTATTACAGTCATAACTCAGAGTACTCTTTTAAGTTTAATGAAATTAAATATTATATTTTTTTCATATAATAATAAGCTATGGCGCTATCAAATACATTGGACCAGAATGTACAATTCCCACATAATACATTCACTTGATTAATTCTCTCAATGAAGCTAAAACAAATTAAGTTTACAACATTCTTTACTTAAAATTACTTATATAAAACAGAAAAGCCCTATCAAATTTGGACCAGTCATTTTTTTCAAATATTCAATAATCTAGAGAATCTTATTAACTACGCTATAAATATAACTAACTATCATCTTATCTTACCTGTGCCCATAATAGGGCTAATTGCCCCTATTATAGAACCACTACGACTTTTCGGTTTGGTAACGGCGCCATTAACGACGGTGTCTCCGGAATTAGAAGCACTGCTGTTATGTTCAAATGCGACAGTTTTAAGACCATCTACTTTAACTGACGCTCGTCTGTTGAGATCTGAGGAATATTATTATTATAAAGCTTTTTAGTTTGCATAATGAGTAATTTGGTCTGTTTAGGAAAAGTGAGGTTTTTTGTTTGTTAAATAAAACTATCTTTATGAATGTTTTCGCGGATTTATTTTAATTTTTTGTTCATAGTAGGGAAAGTTAACCATTATTGTTTTAAAGCATTCGAAACATCGAGGACCAAAAAAAAAATTATAATAATAAAGATAGTAATATATTCTGTGTCAGAGTAACTTGTTTTTCTAACACCTAGAAAAAATAAAACTTTTTTTTTTTGGGTTTTTGAGGAAACACTCTGTCCTGTGACCATAATCACTGTAAAGCATTGGAAACGTCGCGAATTTAAAATCAAAATAAATGTGCAAAAAAATCCCAGAAGATAGTTTTATTTAAAATGTCGAATATTTGTGTAAATCCAAGAAAGTATTACTTAGAATAAAAATATAAAGCCAAATGCATAATATTTGTCTTTATAGTAGTGACGTCGGACTGAACTGATATTAATAAAAATATATAAAGGCATAAAACATGTAGACGACACGTTTGGCTCAGTGTGTATTAACCCTACTTGCTATGCCAGCGGTTGCGGGTTCGAATCCCGCTGGGGGCATTCATTTGTGTGATGAGCACGAATGTTTGTACTCCAGTCATGGGTGTTTATATTTATAATATGTATGTATTTAAAGTTATATATGTGTAGTGTATCAACTATCTGGTATCCATAACACAAGCCTCGTAGCTTACCATGGAACTAGATGGTGCTGTGTGTTAATGTCCCAACATATTTATTTATTTTATTTATTTATATGCCCGCAATAGAAACAAAAACGTCGGTCAGAGTCGTGGGATATCCGGTAGGAACGAAGTTCCTTTCGCTCTCTGCCTTTGGTTCATAAATTAGGTCATAAAATTTGTCACGAGTACTACAGTTTCGTAAAAATCAAGCAACTTACATTGTAAATGTATGAATAAAGACCTGCACAGAGTACACACGTATTTCTAACAATATACATTTCTTAACACAACGACACGTTTGGTTCAGTTTGTAGTGACCTTAGTTGCTGTGCTAGCGGTCGCGGGTACGAGCCCCGCTGAGGACATACATACATTTGTGTGATGAGCACGAATGCTTGTACTCCAGTCATGGAAGTTCATATTTATGATATGTACATATGTATTTAAAGTTATATATTATTTGTAGTGTATCAACTATCTGGTATCCAAACACAAGCCTCGTAGCTTGCCATGGAACTAGATGGTGTTATGTTAATGTCCTAACATATTTAAAAAAAAAAACACTTATGATCGCCTGGTATTTATTTATAATGACCATATTTTTAAAACTTATGGTCGTATGATACATAAGATGACGTAATATGGACTGCTCTTTGTAAATAATAAAAAGTGTCGTGACAGTAGAAATATTACACTTTTTTCCGTGTAGCTCTTTTCGCCAAGTGTGCCGAGTATATAACGTGGGATAAAAACTTCGTTCCTAAATACAAATAACTTAATTATTAATAAAATTTAACATACATATTATTTATAAATGCGTTTTTGACTACTTCACACAGTAACCACTCAACGGATTCCATGTAGGCTAACTTTTATCGACATATCTACCATATGAGCTGTTCTTAAATTGGAAATTAATTTAACTTAAATTTTCAAGTTAATTTTTTTTAGTTTTTTTAGTAATGAACTTTAACTATATAAACTTTAGATTCATTGTACATTTTTTGTATTAATGACCATAGTAAATATTGTTTATTTCTTTTTTTTATGCGTATTTTCTCAATTTAAATCCTACGGATGCTTATAAAATAAATGCAACCCATTCAGATTTTTTAACACGAGCGGTTTCACAATTATAAACTAGTACTTTAAAAGCCAACGAATCTTACCAGGATTTCTTAAGGACTCCGCTCTCATAACTTTAGTGTTCTCTTGCTCTACAAAACTATGCTGTGAGGGTGCCGGACTGATGTCCTTAGGCTTGGTCGGAGACACTTCTTGACATATCGACGATACAATACTAGCCTTGCGATCCACTGTACACACAGATAAACGGCCGTTTTCTGATATACCTGGTTTCTGAAAAAGATAATATTTTTATTCTAGCTTTATTCTAGCTGGTGACGGACAAAGTTATGCTAATTTCCAAATTTAGTACATTTTTCTGGGATAAAAAGTAACCTATGTGCTATTCCAGACTATAATCTATCTCTGTGCTAAACTTCCAGATCCGTTCAGGCGTTCTGGCTTCAAAGAGTAATAAACATCTATCAATCAATCTATTCTCACAAACTTTCACGTTATAATATTAGTAAGATATTTGAGGTCATACAAACATTTTATCCATACATATAATAAAATTGTAACCGAGCCGTATCTGTACATTAAATATTTTTTGGAAAATCTTATTGAAATAAACATTATTGTCGATACAGAGGCCGAATCTATAGTTTTTAGAACTTTTATCTGTCTGTCTGTCTGTCTGTTACCGCATCACAGAAAAACCACTGGAAGGATTTTGATGAAATTTGGTATGGTGATAGCTGGTTATCGGGCCAACATATATGATACTTTTTACCGCGGGGAAATATTTCATGTCTGAGAAAAATATAAAAACTGCAATGCAAGAGTATACTAATATGTAAAACCTAAGAAATTTGTTTTTGGTCATCTGAACGCGGGCAAAGCCGCGGGCAAAGTTAGTGCGTGCTACAAAATTCCGACTATAACGAACATTCAAAAATAATTTCCAAATCACCGTTGTCAATTAATGCGCTTGTCAACAACAAACATTATTCCTTTTTTATGCATAATATAGATATAGAAAACTCTCAAACTAACAAAGCAAGCTAGAGCAGACTAGTATAAAGTTTATGAATGGTCCAATCAAACAAGCTTTGAATTCGTTTTAGTCAAAGGTCGATTTTTTTATTTAAGTTACTTGAAAGTATTATGGAAGTACCTACGAAAGTAAAACGGTCGTCAACCCCTGGAGAAATACCTTTTAAAGGAAAATGATCGAGAATAGATTTTCACGTAAAGACGCTCCTTTTCATACCTTTGAATTGACTTTTTCTGACAATATTACATATTTTATTGGAACTACTAGATTGTCCACAAACGTAAATAAAATTATATTTTGTATTATATGATCTATCCCTACATTTAAATACATACATTTCTCTTGTAATCAGGTCAGATCAGCAAATTTATGTAATGAATTTTCCGGAATAATTTTGTATGAGCGTATTCATGCCAAAATACACCACTTATGCTTTACGTGAAGCTCTTCAGCCTTATTGAGAGTTTGGGGATTTTCATCGAATATTTGGAACATTTGCATATATTATTGAACAAATATGACCTAGTTTTAAAAGTTGTATAGTTATTTAAGATAACCTTAAATATATAAAAGATATAGAGAACATTTTTGGTTTCCGAACACACGCCCGGCGTAATCTTGGAAGAATTGCGATTTTGATTGAATTTATTCTAATGCTAGCGACTCACCCTCGTCACCCTCAATCATGTCGGCAGCTTATTTTCACAAAACGTTCATAAATTATAACTTTGTAACTTGTTAGATAATTTCTATTTCAATTAGAGAAAACCGTATGAAAATTCGTACAGCAGTTTTTTTTATTTTAATATTACTTTTCATCTGACTTTCATTTATAATATGTAGTCATAAAATATATATATGTAATGAGCACGAATGTTTGTACTCCAGTCATCGGTGTTTATTTATAATATGTATGTATCTAAAGTTATATATGTGTAGTGTATAAACTATCTGATAACCATAACACAGGCCTCGTAGTTTACCATGGAACTAGATGATGCTGTGTGTTAATGTCCCAAAATATATATCTATTTATGTCAATCTTCTACGGTACACTATATTTACTTACTTTATTTAATAACTATTTTTACCTATTTAAAACGTACCTAAATACGCCCCCGAGCGAAGCGAGGGTAAGTCGCTAGTATATATATATTAATAAAAAGATCCTATTTATTTTTAAATGTCATTTTATGTTCAATCTCAAGTGGCTCAGATATAAAAGGCGTCCAATTAGCGTTTCTTCTTTTTAATCAGAAAGTATAATGTAATATTAGCTTTGGCTTTGAACTTTGCTATTTGACGCGCTAATTAGAGTTGAGCACTTTTATTTCATAAATATAAATCATTTGTCTTTTTTAAAAGCCTGTAATTTCATTAATTACAGTCTATATATATTTTCACAATATCGGACTATTGTTACTACAATAGAAAGACTTTAAATATTACTAGCAGAACCCGCGGCTTCGCTCGGGCTAAAACTGCAAAAAATCTCTAAAAATGTTGTTTCATACAAACTTTCATCCCCTTTTTAACCCCCTTATAGAATGAATTTCAAAAAATACTAAAACACATATTTATTTAATTTTATTGAAGAGCATTTTAATACCAAATTTCAAGTAATTCTGACTATAAATATTTTTTTGGATTGTATTATAACGTGTTTTCCCGTAGGAATTAGATAATATCTCGCGGTAAAAAGTAGCCTATGTCACTCTCCAGCCCTCCAACTATCTCCACACAAAAAATAACGCCAATCCGTCATGCCATTTCAACTTGAAAGAAGGATAAACAAACAATCAAACACACTTTCACATTTATAATATTAGTATGGATATGATATACAGCCTATAGCATTCACCAATAAGGGGCTATCTAATGCAAAATATTTTTTTAAATCTTATTAGTACTTCCTGAGATTAGCTCGTTAAAACAAACAAAAAAACAATAAACAAATAAACCAACTCTGCTTATAATATTCTTTATAATATTAGCATCTATAAATAAGAAAGTTTGTTTGTGTAAGTAAGCGTATTTATGTTTGTTAATCCTTCACACGTAAACGGCTGGACGGATTTAGAGATGAAATTTTAGTTATTGAAATTTACGTTTTTAATTTTAAGTACACACAAAAAAGGTTTACTTTGTAATTAGCTAACCTAAATCAAAATACTACTTAAAGCTTCTTAACAGGCAGTGTTTTTATTTAGTTAAAAAAATATTGCGTTAGGTATTATTTTTATTTATAATTAAAATATATTTATAATAATCATAATCTACGATTATATACATTTTCAACATCAAGTGTATCAGTCATGTTGCTCTAAAATCTGAGATGAAGGAAGAAAGTATGAAATTTGCGTTTGCTCTCAGTCACCCAACGAAACACTTGTTCGATATACTCGTACAAAAGTTAGAGTAAATTACTTCCTAACTTCACGATGATATTCCAAGAATTACTAGAAATCCCTGATTATGTATATATAAGCTTATGTGTAATTCCAGATCTCTTTATGTACTGAAGTTCATTCAAATCCGTTTAGCCGTCTTAGAGTGTAGCAATAACAAAACTACACACATACCGACAAAATTTTGCATTTATAATGTTAGTGTGAGTTCGCTCTCTTTTATGTAATTATTAATGTATTGCTACTGTACATAACATAGTTCTTTAACTTAGTAGGTGAAATATATGAACTCTGAACTATACAAATATTATAAATTCTGTTTGTTTGTTTGTTTGTTTGTCCTTTTTCACGTCGAAACAGAGTGACGGATAGGCGTGATTTTTTATATGGAGATAGTTAGAGAGCCGGAGAGTGACATAGGCTATTTTTTACCGCGGGAGATTATCTCATTCTAGCGAAATAACGAGTTATAATACAACTCACAACAACTCATCATACTTATGTATGTATATATATTATATTACAGTCTATATATAAATGTATCGAATGAAAACAGGTTATTCAGTCCACCTTAACTATTATATTTTGATTGATGATAATGGACTCTAATATCATGACAAACGTCCCATTAGTGGGTAATATGTTGTAGTCAATGATCGATCTATAGTTATTTAATATATTTAATGTATAACTTCACGCTACAACCAACGTCATATATTGTTTTTGCAAGCATAGAAAAAGCATACAAGAACATTTTAAGACTTCTCAAAATTTGTTTGCTTTTATACGAGTAAGTATCAATCAAATCATTCAATTTCCAAAAACACAAAAATCCAGAAAGCACAAAAATATTTTAATATTCACACAAAATTCTAGATCTTAAATAGATATTAAGATCATTAAATCGTTAAAATTTTATTTTTAATTAGGAAAGTGTATGTCATCATATTTACAAGAAAGACTTAATGAAATGAAATAAAATTTATTCAATTAGACTTAAAATACAAATGCTTTTGAATCGTCGATTTAATTTAAGCGTCAGTGTAGTCAGTCCGTGAGGAAGCTACCACCGGCTCGGAATGCAGTTACTTATAAAAACAAAAACAAATCTAGACGCATCCATTCCTAGCATTTTTAAAATTAAATAACTAATAAAAAAAAATTACTCCTATAAATAAAAGTTTAGTAAAAACCAACAAAAAAAACATTGGAATTGATTTTTTTTAATTAAAATCTTCCATAGATTTTTATATTACCATAATTAGTTATTTATTATAATGAAGCTTATTCATTAATACTCCACAGGCTTTGCGCTACCCACATTCGCTTCCCTCGAGGCTTGTTATACAACGCATCATTAGAAGCTTAGAATCATTATATTTTTTTCATTATATCAATATATATTTTAGAACATATTTTTATGTACCTACAAATAAGTAATTTTCATGGTAAATCATATTAGAATGAAACAAAACCACACATCTCTCCACTTTTTTTATCCCTCTATACTCCTGAATGTCTGAAACTATTTTAGCTCATATGTTATTTGGGCGAATAGAGGATTTTGACAAGGATTATATAGAAATATGCTACACTATACAAAAAAGGTTCCTAGGATTTTATGGGATTTTCATTATTGCGTACACTGTAGAATATTGTAATAACTAATATTATTTTTTTAACGCAACAATAACAGTTTATTCAGCGAAAGCAGTCTATCTTCTATATATAAATAAAAATGAATGTTCGTACGTTTGTCTTCTAGGCGTTTCTAGGCCATGATCCGATTGTGATGAAACTTTGGTAGATTATTCTGTATATGCTTGTGAAAGTACCTATTCCAAAGAAAATAATTTTTTGGACGTTTATCTTTATATTAGGAACGCCTAAGCCATTCAAGCAAGTCAAGAGGTCCCTTACCGATTTTTTTTGTTGAGTAGTTATTGACAAGCTTTATTGTTATCAATAAAAATAAATATAATCGTTTTCTTTTTATATGAATAGAACAGCGTCCACACGATGCAGACTTTCCATCGGACAAAAATTGAATTCATAATATGTATAAGGATATATCAATATAGATTACCCTCATCTTTCTACTCATTATGAACTAAAAAACTATCGGTTGTTAGAAAGACTACAGTATACGTAGGCTCTTATAATGTACTTACTTTCGGTGGCACGATCAAATAAGTTTCAACTTTGTGATCTGCGAGGTACCCTTCTCTTGAGGCGCCCTCACCTGGTTCCACTTCAAACTTGCCACCAAGCTGCAGCATAGTGGCTTTTGTGATGTGAACACGACTGGAATACATTAAAATAGATAACTATTGTATAGAATAGTAGTATAGAGCTGATTTTTTACATAAAATAAAATTCTAACGGAGTCAAATCTGTACATTAAATATTTTTTGAAAAATCTTATTGAAATAGTCATTATTATCGATAGGTACAGAGGCCGAATCTATAGTTTTTAGAATTTTTGTTTGTCTGTATGGGAACGCATCACGAGAAAACCAATGGATACTTTTTACTTTGATAGAATACATTTTACTGCGAGAAAATATATCATTTCTGAGAAATCTATATGTTAAAACGTAACTAGGGGCATAACCGAGCGGAGCGAGGGTGAGTCGCTAGTTTAATAAATAGTGCAGAGCTAAGAATGTGGTTGTCGATGAACATTTTTTTATTAATCTTTGATATCGATTTTTTTTAATATAGCGCCGATTCTCTATCCTTCCAAATCACTTTATATTTTCGTGAGTAGATACCGTTTGTAATACTCGTAGCTATGACTTTTGATATATCAAAAACCTTAGTCGTAGTAGAGTGTAAACTCTGAAACGACTGATCTGATTTTGACAATATCATTGTGCACAATATTGTGCCCAACTGGTACTCCTAGAAGCCACTAAGCAAACAAATTTAATTTGTCTTCCACCAATAGGAAGCTACATTAACACGGAATGCTATAGGATATTTTTATTCCGAATAAATTATGTTTACGGTAAGAAATTATAATAATTGTAATTGAAGTCAGAAAGTTTCTGCCATTGATTTGCTTTACATGCGCGGCCCGAACAGTTTGAAATAAACTTATAAAATGTATAGCAAAAAAACCAACCTAAGAATGACAGAAGCGTGGATAAGTCTCTAGTATTTAATATTAATATAACAGTTGAGCCATTTTAAGGTTCTTCTTAATGGACACGGGTCTCCTCTACATGTGATGGGGAATAAGCCATATTCCCCGACACTGGCTAAAAGCAGATTAGCAAAATTCATACGGCTTTTGAAGACTAGTTAAGCTCTCTCCGACATGCAAGTTTCCTCAATGTTTCAACATCGAAATGTTGAAAATGAAATTCATACTTGAAATATCGGAAAAGCGAGATTTCAAAGAGAAAATGCTTTCAATAGGAATCTAGAGTTTAATTAAGTGGTTATTAAACAAACATAAGTGTACAGAAAATCCTACTAATATTATAAATGTGAAAGTTTGTGAGAATGTATGAATGTCTAGATGTATAGATGTGCGGATGTTTGTTTGTTTCTCTTTCACGCAAAAACTACTAAACGGATTTTAATGAAACTTTACAATAATATAGCTTATACATCAGAATAATACATAGCTAATTTTTTATCCCAGAAAAATGTACTCTTGTTTTTTTATGTTTAAGTATTCTTGTTTTTCTAGAGGTGAACCCGAACGAAGCGAGGGCGAGCCGCTAGTTTTAAATAAAACTGGGATCTTTTAGCTGATTTATTTGGATTTTCTGGGTCCTGTCGTGTTTCATATGCTTTGGAGCAAGCATCGTGTAGAGACTAAGGATTTCAACGTCTCAAAAGTTGTTATTATTGCAAACGTCATTATTATTAGTTTTAGACTATATTTGGCCAGAAAACACACATAGTTTATCCCTAAGGCTACCTTCAGTATACAGAATATAGGTTATATAGGTTAAATTTTCAGTATAAAGATTAACTAATATAACTAAATTGTTAGAACGAAAATTGCAAGAACGCGAAGAATTTCTATTAAAGGAATTTTAAGCACCATATTAATAACCATAGTAATACCATTCTTGCGTGTAAACGGTTCATAACGATACGACTTGAAACTTACCTTACACCATTATAAATAGACATACCTATTTAAGTACAATTGTTAAGGAAACACTTATTACTTTATTTACTAGTCTTAGACCGCGACTAGAATTTTTTACATTATTAATTACTAGCAGAACCCGCGGCTTCGCTCGAGCTAAAACTACAAAAACTATTTAAAAAGGTAGTTTCATACAAACTTTTCACCTGTCACCCTCTTATAGGATGAATTTTACAAAATGCTAAAACACGTATTTATTTAATTTTATTGAAGAGCATTAATAGGTACCAAGTTTTAAGTAATTCTGATCATAAATATTTTTTGGATTGTATTATAACGTGTTTTTTCATGGGAATTAGATAATCTCCCGCGATAAAAAGTAGCCTATATCACTCTCCAGACCTCCAACTATCGCCACACATAGAATCACGCCAATTCGTCAATCCGTTTCGAGGTGAAAGAAAGACAAACAAACAAACACACTTTCATATTTATAATATTATATGGATTCTGTTACATTCAAGCTTTTAAACCGTAAATGAAAAAAGAGTATGAGTGACAAAGGCACAGAGCTGGTAGAGCATAATTGGGATGAAAAAATTAACTCTTAGTAACTAATACTTTCTTAGATTTACGCGAATATTTGACATTTTAAATAAAACTATCTTAGTAACTACTTAGTTCATTGTAACATTTAAATAAAAACTTACTCTAATCAGAAATCGAATAAATTGCCTCACTAAATACATTCTCAATTACACCAGAATAGGTATGACATAAAAATAAAATAATTTCTTCGCGTTTATTTCAACATGTAAATATCTCCATTTGAGTAAAACGGTAGTAAAACAGAAAGCTAGAAACTCAAGCTTTACTGTCTGCTTTAATTTGCATTTTTATCGCGAGGGAGCAAGCGTTGCACTAAAGTGGAACGCAAGGTGAGTGATAGGAGCACTCGCACTTAAAATATGATGCCTGTGAAATTATTACCTGTTTTAGAAATATGAAACCACTTGAATATTTAAAAGATACTAATTTAAAAAGTCACTGGCGGCTTAGCCTCACTTTCACCCTCGGTTTCACCTCTAAGAGCAGAAACAAATCTACCCCACGGCAATCGAACATTTTTCCGGGATAAAAAATAGCCTAGGTGCTATTCCAGACTTGATCTCTGTGACAAATTTCATCTAGATCCGTTCATCTGTTCTGGCGTGATTGAGTAACAAACATCCAAACAACTAAACTTTCACATTTATAATATTACTAAGTTAATATTCTACTCGTTCAGGATCAGATCCGTAGAGTGCAAATTATTTATAATATAATATTAATAATAATGTCCTCCGGGCTGATTCCCGCCACGGTTTCCAATCCCACTGAGACTAGTCAAGTGAGCAGGAGAGAGAGGTTTTCTCGTGATGCGGTAACAGACAGACACACAGACAGACAAAAATTCTATAAACTATATATTCGGTATCGATAATAATTACTATCTCAATAAGATTTTCCAAAAAATATTTAATGTACACATTCAACTCAGTTAGAATTTTATTATACTCGTACATACCTATACATATTAATAATATGTGTATAGTTTCGACAGGCTTGTAATAATTACAATTTTATTTATATTGCTTGTATAGTCATTGTTAAGTGTACAATTGTCCTGTATATGTATTTATGTATACTTTTAGTTACATTGTATGTTTGTATTGTAAACAATTACATAATAAATAATGATCAATTATTGCAAAAATATATAACTCTAATCAGATTCTAAATATTTATAGTTTTTGTTACATTTTTCGAGTAAATTAATTAGGAGTGAAGCCAAAAACTCTACATTTTTTTAGTATTCCAGGCTCCATAGTTTTGGAGTCTCAATAACCCTTTTTGTTATATTTTTAATGCCTTCCAAATTGTGCTATTTATTAAAATTATCCTGCCCCTAAATAAATCAAGTAGTACGCTTAAAGATTATTTTTTACTAATAAAACATCCAAAAGTAAATACTAAAATTAAAATTACTTTATTACGAGTAATAGCATACTTTAGTCATAAGCTTATCTCTTATACTATATCTATCTCTATCTTTATATGTTCATTTCTATTTATTTCGGACAAAATACACAAAGACAGATGGATGCACGTTTAAAATATGCAACCCCTAAGACATTTACTATTTAATATTTTCTAATGGAACCCTAACACTTAACTTATTAGGCGGTTTCATTTCATGCATGGTGCTTAATTCAGAAAAAAATCATTGTAACCGCTTTCACAGTAAAAGCATGCCATTAACACACCGTGACTAACAAAAAATAACCTTTGAGCATGTTTGATATTAACTAACTTTCTTTTTTCTTTTTCTCTACACTCGTGTTTGATCCCACAAAAATAGATTTCAGTAGAAAATACACTGTAAAAACCACAGAAATCTTAATAATAAGCTAATAGAAGTGGCATAGACGCGTGACCTTGTCGCCGCGCATGTGACTCGTAGGTCACAAGCGCGTGTAAAGCGTTTGTTGCGGTAACTAGTGTTATTTGAGACACGGAGAGGTAAACATGGTGTTTTGCAGCATATCCAACTGCGGAAATTCTTCCACAATTTGTAACTTTACAAATAAAGGGATAACATTTCATATATAAGTACTTAATTTTTGAAATAATGTCGTTTTTAAGAAATATAGCCAAATCAAATGTTTTCACCACCACTACTACGATTATCGCAGGAAAACGTTTTTTTTTTTTTCAATTCAATAACCATTACCACTTAAGCTTGTTCATGTCTACTATTACAACTGCTAAAAGCAGCAATGAAATAATAGTTATGCGTAAAGAACAATATCGTCGCGTACGTAAATTCCAAGGACACGCCGCATAAGTTGACCGCGAATTAGTGACGTGCCACCACTATTTTTTATCGAAAATTTATTACGTTTGGCTTAATATTTTTCGTTAAATATTTAATTGTTACATCTCATTATGTATGTTTTCTTTCTGTCTGAATAATTTATAAAAAGTCATTTATCAACGATTATCTGTAAATTCGTACTTTTAAACTACTTTTTCATTCAGAAAATTATTAGGAGGTAGGCTTATTATTGTTATGTATATGGGTAAGTCAAAAACAGTATGCGTTGAATATCCTTGTATCGTTGACATGTTCCGCATTTACCAAATTTGGTTTTTGATTTGATTTGATTGAGTAAATAATTCTAAGGGCGAGTTGTTTGATAAACATAACATAGAAATTCTATAAAAAAAATTAAGTCATTGTTAAAAATGTATAGGATTTTAACAAATAGTTTGCATAACTTTTGTATAATAATAATAATAATAATAATATTTATTGCAAAGGTATACACCCAATTTAGAATATAATAACATATATGTAGTTATACAAGTCAATTTTTATATCACTTATGCATATATATGCAAGTCAATAAAAACATTATAAAAACAAAATTCAGTCAGACTCTTCATTAAATTAAACTAGAATTAAAAACAATATATCGCTGTTGAGTATATAGTAGCTGTTGAGTGTATAACTATATAATAATAAAAAAATTACTTACTTTTAACGTTTTATTGTATTCCCTTTATGAAAATAAATAAATCGTCTAAAATCGCGTCGAGGAATGAAACATAAAACACTTTCAATAAATTAGTTACCTATTGTTGCAAGACTCAACGGAAAATTATCGATATGAGCATTATGCGCTTTGTGCTGCACTAGAAGTGAGCGCGCGATATCATTCTGTGCTTTTCGCACACGTTTATTATTGGTCACAGGGATCACGGGATCTGAGATTATGCGTTTTTAGAAAATATTGCGTAATGTCATGGCTTAAAGTTTAATTTTTGTTGCAACAATGCAAAATGCATGTGTGAGCGATAGTGTGTATTTATTGTTTGTCAATGTGTTGGTAGCTGCAAGCCGGCGACACGCGTCCCAGTACTAAAAGACCGCAATGGCATTTCTATTACCTTATTATTAAGATTTCTGTGGTAAAAACTTTCATATATATGGTGTTTACAATATAAATAAAGCAACATCAATTGGTTTGGACATTGAATAAATTTTATAAGAAGTTATATTTTGTATCAAATATAAATCTTAAAGGAATAACAAAAAATATTAAAATATATTTTCTCGGCCATTTATTTTGCGTCTGCAAAGGTCTATTCAAATATTCTTATTTTTTTTCAATTTAAAATATAAATAGCTTCTAAATCTCAGATAAAAATTGGATGACCTTTCTGATAGCAAAAAAATTCGAGGGAATCTCTACAACCTACTTATTGTTCATAAATTTTATGTATTTATTAATTTAAATTCTAGACGTAGTACGCCGTACTCGTAAATATCTGTCCAATCGTTTCGGAGATTAGCCGAGACAAACAGACAAATAGAATATAGAACAACAAAAACATTAAAAATAGTTTGTTCTTATTAGTACCGTATACATACATGTATGTATATACTTTCATACGAATTTAGTAAAAAGCTGTTATTTTGACATTACAAACAGACACTTCAATTTTATTTATCTGTAATGAAAATTTAAATTGCTCCGAACTTCTTATATCTGAAAATATTTGTTTACTTTCGTACACATAATATTAAGTACTTTTAATAGGTACGTGATATGTTATGTAAGGTGAAGAAAAACATTGTAAAAAAACTTGCATGTCTGAGAGAACCTAGCAAGTTTTCGCAAGACATGAGCAGTCCGCCAACCCGCACTTGGCTACCATGGTGGACTATGACCTGATCCCCTTGTAGTAAAGGCGAAGCCCGTGCCCAGCAGTGGAACGTTAAAAAAGGGCTGAATACAATATAACGTAAGAAATATAAATAATAAATAAATGTTGGGACATTAACACACAGCACCATCTAGTTCCATGGTAAGCTACGAGGCTTGTGTTATGGACACCAGATAGTAGATACACTACACATTTATATAACTTTAAATACATACATATTATAAATATAAACACCCATGACTGGAATACAATCATCCGTGCTCATCACACAAATGAATGCCCCCAGCAGAACTCGAACCCGCGACCGCTGGAACAGCAAGTAGGGTCACTACAATTTGAGCAAAACGCGTCGTCAAATATATTTTGTAATATCTTAAAAAATATTATTTCCCGTTCATATTGTCAACAAAACTTATCTTTCCCGAATGTAAATGAATATATTTTGAATTTACTTATATATGTAGGGTGATGCATATGTCTTCGCACAAGTGCATATTGGATATCGCAAAGCTAAGAGACTTCGTAAAATTCATTTCAAAATTACATTTTAATTCACGTACGGAGCAGACATGTTTATTTTCTGTTTAATAAAAGTGAAATATTAAATGCTTACTTTTAAAATTAAACAAGGCTCCTTTTTATTTTAAAACTAGCGACTCACCCTCGCTCCGCTCGAGTTCGTCTCTAGGTACGTTTTAACTAACGGTTAGTATAGATTTCTCAGAAATAAAATATTTTCTCGCAGCTAAAAGTGTTCTATATGTTGACCCAGATAATCAGCTATCATCCTACCAAATTTCATAAAAATCTGTCCAGTGGTCCAGTCCAACAAAAATTCTAAAAACTAGATTCGGCCTCTGTATCGATAATAATGAATATTTCAATAAGACTTGCCAAAAAATATTTAATGTACAGATTTGACGGAGTTAGAATTTTATTATATACATATAGATTTTAAGATACAATTCTTCAAGCTTCTTTTAAATTAGTAATGTCTTTGGAGACAAAAATCTAAATAAAAAAGCGAAAGAACCGTTTTATTTAAAACACCAAATAATAGCGTAAACAAAGTAGATATCATGAAATAAACATAAAAAGACATAAATAGATATTAATGCCTCCACGACGGCGGACACGCCGGCGTTACAGTTAACAATAGATTTCTTAGAAATTTAATTAATCTCTTAGAAATTTACCTGGAGGTGTTAAGAAAAAACCTAAACTACTTTACAGTTGATTTTCTCTGGAAAACCTCAATTTTGTTTTGCCAAATTGAAAAGTTCGATTTGTGGAAATGATTGCTTTGATTTAGCTCGGAATATAGGATTAAAATACCTCATACCTTGAATCTACATACAAGGTATGAGGTATTACATCTGCAATTAATCCCACAAAGCAAATATATTATACGCTTGAAAATTACTACAAGTTTAAGTGCCTGGTGGTGTAGTTGCTAACATGTACGACTGCACATTCGGAGGTCCTGGGTCTGTTCTTCTGAAGTAATATTAAATCTTGAAACTGTGTCACGTTGAATGATAATATGTATGTTTTCAGCCTTTTTTAAGTTCCCACTGCTGGGAACAGGACGCCCTTCTATGTGAGGGGGATCAAGCCATAGTCGGACGGACTTCAAATGTCCTCGAAAACCAGCTAGGTTCTCTCAGACATGTAGGTTTCCTCATCATTTTCCTTCACCATAAGACATGTGGTAACCATGTTGGAAATAATACGCACATGAAAATATCTGATGTGCGAGTCCCGGGATTTGAACCCGCTTCACTCGGACCACTGGGTTGCCATTATATATTACTATTATTATACAAATGATAATATGAATTCAAAACATAATACTATAGTGACGTGAAACTCTAACACACAATTATATTACTCGAGTGTAGAAAACATTTAAAATTTAGGTCCTTAGTAAGATTCCTGCTTCGTGACTTATTGATACGAGTATAATACAATAGAGCTGTTAAGTTAATCTTGACTTAACCCAACATCAATCTATCGTACACATTTAGTATTCAGTCAATATGCGTGTACTAAGAGGCTTATATCAAAGCATTAATTTAACTTCATTAGTATATTTACTTTCACAAATAATCAAACTACTAATTATAAATGCAACGAGACGTAGCGTAACCTGAGTAAATCCATACTAATATTATAAAGGTGAAAGTGTGTTTGTTTGTCTTTCTTTCACGTCGAAATGGCTTGGTGGATTGGCGTGATTTTTTGAGTGGAGATAGTTGGAGGGCTGGAGAGTGACAAAGGCTACTTTTTACCGCGGGAGATTATCTCTTTCCCGCGGGAAAATACGTTATAATACAATCTAAAAAAATATTTTTAATCAGAATTACTTGAAACTTGGTATTAATGCTCTTCAATACAATTAATGAAATACTTGTTTTAGCATTTTTCAAAATTCATCCCATATGGGGGTAAAATAGTGGATGAAAGTTTGTATGAAACCTACCAGTTTTTTTTGTAATTTTAGCGCGAGCGAAGCCGCAGGTTCTGGTAATATTGATATAATTCTGACAATATTTGGAGTATTGCACTGTATGCCGTAATACAGGTCTCCTAGTACGGCAACAAAGACAACCGTAAGTATTATTTGTATTAATAATTTAAATTGGTGGTTTCAAATTGTATAGTAAAATATGCTTTTCAAATACGAGTATGTATGTATTTTTGTGAAATAAAGTATTATTGTTATTACTTAAAAGGTAACGCCCAACGATTTTATTTTTAAATCTGCCCCAGATTGATGAGGAGAGTGATGTGATGACGGGTACCTACCTAGGAACAACCTAATTATTTTTTACATTTTAGTACACAATCTTCATCATTATTATCTTTCTTTTCAATAAAATCGTTTAACTTAAAGAAACTATTTTATATTTATATATGTATATATAAATCTCAGATAAATCTTTGTTTTAAAATACAGCAAAAAAAAATTAAAGTACAACAAGTATTAGAGTTTGAAAAATAAGGATTAAAGTGACGAATACTTCACTATAAATTACTCACCCAGCTATTCCCCCGGACTCCATGTGATTAGCCAGCGTGACGTCATCACTCCACACGTCAAACTGCCACTTTCTCAGACCAAGCACACCGCACAATACGTTGCCCGTGTGTATGCCGATACGCATGTCCACGTTGAAACCTGTTGCTTCCCGGACGAAACTACGAACAAGTTTCAAGAAGTTATAAGGCATTACCATTAAAAATTTTCTTAACATCTAGGCAGGAAATATTATACATATATGTATGTATGTACGTATGTTTATTTAAATAAATAAATAAATAAAATAAAAAAATAATTTTCACATTATTTCTAATTTTGAAAATTATGAATATCGTTGGAATTTTTCATCCCTTACTAAACCTATTTGGTAAATGATTTTTTTTTTCTTTTTTATTGCTAAACCTTTTCTTTACTTGTCTTGATTCTAAGCTCTGCTATTTAGTATATTTTTTTATTAAACGAGTCTAAGAACACCATAGACTTTTGTACGTGCCTTTTATTTTATAAGCTTTAGTTTTATATGGAGTGATTTTTTTTGTTTTATAAATTAATCTCGTGTTCAAAATTGGGAATTTAGACTATATCGAGAACGGAGTGTACAGATTTCTGGTTATATGAGCTCTCATGGCTACTATTTGGCGCTTTCTTCCTGTGCTAGGTCTTCTTGGTGAGGGATGCTGGCACGATTGGCATAAGATGCCAGCGTTCCATTTATATATTTGGCTCTCTGCATGATTGCCATCTTTTAATTATAGTCTATTATATCCCTTATAGAAATCTCGTCAGCCTCCAAGGTAAATCTGCCTAGAGCTATTTAGTTTAACTTACTGTTTTAAATATTTACTGACCGTATAGCATCAATCATTTGTAGGCCCATGTTCACGCAGTTGTAGGCGTGGTTAGGTCTGGACACGGGCAGTCCTGACACGCAATAATAACAGTCACCGAGGATCTTGATCCGCATACACTGGTTCTCCTACAGATAGAAATAATATAAACTATAATATTGTATTAGATTTACTGGAATACTAATTGTCATTTTAAATAAGAAAGTTTTGTTTTTTGGACATTTTTTCAGTTTAATTTTTATTTTCATCGACATTTCTGACGCAACATATCGAGCGAGTGTCCACATGTGGAATAAACTAAGGTATTTGACTCAAAAGTCGAAACACCAAAAAAAAGTTCGAAAAAAATATTATTATTTAAAATTTTGTGAATTATAATTACATTTTATAAAATAGAAATAACATATTGTCTAAGGATAAAAACTAAAAAAAAATACTCAATCCACTACCTCCATTTTGGAAGTCGATCAAATAGTAAATGAATATATCTACACGTTTACATTTTGTAACAGAACATACTCGTAATGACAACAATAAAATCTGTGATTATAATCAACCCTCACGGGCGAGAATCAAATTAATCGAGATTCTCGTATTTCGTATATTGTTTTGTTAAGAACGAGCCTTATAAAAAGGGGTTTTCAGGGAAGCTTAATGGGATTTCTATAACTTCCTCTGTACCTACTAACAAATATACTTATTCACATAATCATACACAATTAACTGCTTATGAATTAAGATATACTTGTTTTTATTTTTAATACCTTTAAATAAATAAAACTATCTTTTCGGATTTTGACGCGGATTTATTTTGATTTTTGGTTCCAGACTTTTCAAATGCGAAAAAATCCGAAACGATAGTTTTAAATTAAAATGTCAAATATTCGCGAAGTCTAAGAAAGTATTATCTTTAAATAAAATGAAAATAGTGATAGTTCATTTTTTGCACTAGTATCCAATCATAGCGTTTTGAATTCCCTATGGCACTTTAACCAACTAAACTTTTTTAACTAAAACGAGAATAATATCTATATATGTATATATAATATGGTTAATACAACTATTTACTCCACAAGGAAATTGAACCCGTGGATTAGCGTAGTACTTCAACATCTATTCATACAATGAAGAATAGTTTTCTCATTGTGCAGGTAGCTTGAGTTACTCATTTGCTTTTCAATCGATCAAGATCAAGTACGTTACAAGAAAGTGAAAGTACAGCCACGGTAATTATGCATTACATTACCGTGGTACAGCGCTATAATATTAGGGATTGATGTTTTATCTAATTTATCTAAGATATTACACGAGAAACAAATAATCCTTACATATTTCTCTTGTAATATGTTTTTATTATTGATTTATATAACTAAAGGTCTCATATAAATGTCAAGAAATACGTAAATCAGTCAATAATGATATCTGTCGGTCAATTCTAATTTACAGTCATGATGCTTTAAGAGATTTTGCAATTTTTTCATTCCAGACCAAATAGAATATTGCCACGTTTTTATATTTTACAAATATCTTTTCCAAGTGTAAAAATCTTTTGTTGACACCAAAAAGGAAAAATAAAAAGTCTTATTTCTCAAAGGTTATTTACTAGGTCTGAAAATAGGTAATCTTTAGTTATTTCACTATACCGCGATCAAAATTATTCGTGTATATTACTTAACAACTTAAAAAGTGAAGCTTCTTAATTCTAGTATGTATTTGAAATTTGTCGTTTCAAATTTCAATAGAATTATTTCTCTTTGCAACACTACAAGTATAATATATATAATAAATAAATATTTTGGGATATTAACACCATCTAGTTCCATGGACAGACAGAAACCGACGTCAAACTTATAACACCCCTATTTTTGTGTCGGGGGTTAAAAACGACAATGGTGAAACCGCGAGAAAACGCTGGTATGAATATTCATTTATCTTTACTCCCCCGCTACACTTCTAACTTTTATTAATAAATAACAGAGCAAAATACATAACATACAATCACTTTTTATTTAAAGACTTTGTACCTACACAACTTCACAAAATAAAAGTAAATATGTCACACTTAAGAATGCTTTTTTTAAAATTCATACTAGACTACCTTTCAGATAAAACCCATTTATCGAACAAAATATGAAAATCGATAGTAAATTGGCAATTAATCTATAATTAATATCGCTTAACGCAAAATAAACTACAACAAAATTGAGCATCCTCCTTTTTAAAATCGGTAAAAAATAAGTTAATTTTACCGAAATTAATATTGAGCAATATGGAGAGTCTGTTATATCAGAAGCTATTTATTACTTTATCACATGCCATTATTGCCAATTGTCATCTAAACGTTTTTCCTCATCGATATTACTCGTATTGCTTTTATAAATTGTTTATTTCGTTTATTTCGCAGATCGTGCAATAAATATAAAGGGTGACTAGTTTTTGCACAAGATGGGATGGGGTATACTATGCGAATGTTTTTTTTTCTGAAATTTATATAGGGTGTTTTACCGCATACGAACGAGAGTTTTTAATTAATTTGATTAAATAGTGATGATTTTTAATTATTTATTTGAATCATTTGACGAGATGACACGTTTGTAGTGACCCTACTTGCTGTGCCAGCGGTCGCGGTTTCGAGTCCCGCGGGGGCATTCATTTGCGTTATTAGCACGAATGTTTGTACTCCAGTCATGGGTGTTCATATGTTTGTATTTCAAGTTATATATGTGTAGTGTATCAACTATCTGGTTTCCATAACACAAGTCTCGTAGCTGACCATGGAAATAGACGTTGCTGTGTGTTAATGTCCCAACATATTTATTTATTTATTTGATTTAAGACATTTGAAGAGGAACCCGAGCGAAACAAGAGTAAGTCACTAGTTATACATTTATGATTGAAAATAAAAATACTTATTACTTCTTTATTAAATGGAGAAAAAGCTTGTCATAGTATCTAATGCTTCATATATTTTATATAATTTCTAAAGCAAACTTCTTAATATAAATAATCTAAGGCAAACTTATACAAAAGTTATGATGTATCGTTATTCTCGTAGCTTGGAACATTCACTTCAACCAGTTACAGAACTACATACATATTATGAAGTTTAACAAACATCGTAGTTGTACTGTGAAATGTTTTACAATGTTAATCTATGCAAATATTATAAAGAGGTAAAGTTTGTGAATTGTGAGTTTGTGACGTAGTAGAAGGTAATCTCTGGATCCACAGAACCGATTTAGATGAAATTTGGTAAGAACATAGTTTGAGACCCTGGGAAGGACATAGGGTAATTTTTATCCTGGAAATCATCCCTTAAGGGGGTGAAAATAAGGATGAAAGTTTGTATGGGAAATCAACCTAGGGACGAACCTGAGCGAAGCGAGGGTGAGTCGCTAGTTTAGAATAATTTATATATCGAAGCAGCATTAATTTTCTCTATTATTTTCCATTATTTTATCATGAATTATACAGTGGGCGTTATATGGGAAGTGTTGGTTCAAATGAAAGTCGATGCAATCACAGTTGTATTTCAAATTAACAATAATCACTTTGTACATAGTTAAACAGCACTTCACTACACAGCCATATACCACTTCATTATTACCATGTATAGACAATACGGAACGCAAGACAGTTCCTAGTGGAGCGGTCCTAAGCTTGGCTCGGCTCGAAGGCAAGTGTCCAGCCCTCTTAGCACCCCTCCCTTAGCTAGGCTCCGTCGTAGCACGAAGCTCGCCGAGTGTTGGCGATAATACCGAAGGTGCTGCCATCACTCAGGCGTCGTGCTGCGATTCGTTTAGCGACCGTATTGATGACCGTCTCCGACACGGCCATCCTGCGTGCACACGCCCTCGTGTGTTAGCCGTGTGTTAGCCTGCAACCAAATAATCAACGAAAAATACTTGCTCGACTCGGTCAATCCTGACCAGATAAAACTTAACTTTGAATCTGAATCATCTTTATTCTAACGAAAAGCTTTAACGCTAACACCTTTGTTTTTTTTTTTAAACTCCAAGTCACTAACTATCTCTAATCTAACTAATAACATTAGTTATCCAGAGCCATGTACCAACATCATTCAACACTTCAGCAATCAAACTAATTTTCAAATTTACTAGCACCTTTGTAAACCACTCTTAGGCCACGGCTTTACAAGCCAACCAGCAATCACAATTGCTCCACAATCCAGGTGCATCCACTACGGGATCACCGTATGTATCATCCTCTCGATGACTACACACTATGGTCATAACAGACCCCGACCTCCGCCAGAACTAAACGCACATCACACACCCACGGTCTATTTAGTTTGAGCTTCCTCAAAAGACCGACTTTTACCAGGCTATGACTACGTAATAGTTACTAGTACGGTCGACACTACTACGGCCGTCAGAATGCTTACATCGGTTTCCATCGACTTCATTAAAACATTTGCTTAGCATGATGATCATTATTTACATCAACCTCTATTGGTACATGACCTACTAGAATTTTTGTGTAAAGAATTTATAGCCGTCATGTTAATAGAAAACCTTTCAATATCTCATGTTCTATCATGATACCATTTTGTAACTAATAATTAGGCAAAACATAATATTTCAAAAGATTTCAAGAGAATGACCGTTAATCGTTACAAAACAAATTTTACTCTGTGCGGAATATTCCGTTTTGATCAATACTAGAAATTGCAAGGACAAAATCGTTAACCACACAATTTGACTGCTAAATGTTATCTTACTAACGAATATTCAGTACCATGATTATAACAAAAGCAATACAGAATACCTCTATGCCATTGAGCATTCGAAGATGGTTGTATAACACATACATCCACGCGTCGTTCCGTTCGTGTTGCACCCATATTGCTGCCGTCCACTTGACTGGCACTACTTATGCACCGGAGCGTGATGTGACCAGGCTTGCCACATTTGAAGCACACCAGAGATTTCACTGCAGGCTGCAATGCCGTTGCTGTCATCGAAGGTCGTTCCACACTGTCATTTACCTTGCTTCTACACTCTGACCGCTTAAGACTCACTTTTTTTGCGTTTCAAATGTGAGAATGCGTGCAATCCCTGCTGCAGTCGATCTCGCGAAGCAATTTTCGTAGAAAAGGCCAATCGTTGTAATTTCGAATTAAACTGACATAAGTGAGCAAGGACAGTCGCAATTGCTATCTGATTCTTGCTAGCGTCTTTCCAATGATTAGTCAGTGACGTCATCAGGCGATTTGCGTACGTAACGAGTTTCTTTTTTCATTTGGTTTGTCACTGTTAAAATTAATTAGCATACCAGCCAATGTCTCGGTGGAAATAAATCTCGCCTTGAAAATCACCTTGAACTCTTCCTATGTTATTCTCTGGTATACAAATTGTGATAGCCACGTCGACCCTTATCCTTTTAATTCCTTACTGACTGTTAAAATAAGCTAGCCGCCGTATGGAGGGTATTCGGAAAAACACAAATCTACAGTCGCAAATCAAGATCTTGCGTCCGTATCCATATTGTCAGGGTCAAACTCGCGTAACTTGACGTTCTTCTTCATCTGAGGCATTTGCAAGGCCTCGATAAGAGATCACATAATGACATTTTGTTGTTCAAACATTGCACGTCATTGTTCACTCAGAGTTAGTTCTTTTTGCAATTGAACCAACACTGATCCCGCTTCTGATATCGAAGCAGCATTAATTTTCTCTATTATTTTCCATTATTTTATCATGAATTATACAGTGGGCGTTATATGGGAAGTGTTGGTTCAAATGAAAGTCGATGCAATCACAGTTGTATTTCAAATTAACAATAATCACTTTGTACATAGTTAAACAGCACTTCACTACACAGCCATATACCACTTCATTATTACCATGTATAGACAATACGGAACGCAAGACAGTTCCTAGTGGAGCGGTCCTAAGCTTGGCTCGGCTCGAAGGCAAGTGTCCAGCCCTCTTAGCACCCCTCCCTTAGCTAGGCTCCGTCGTAGCACGAAGCTCGCCGAGTGTTGGCGATAATACCGAAGGTGCTGCCATCACTCAGGCGTCGTGCTGCGATTCGTTTAGCGACCGTATTGATGACCGTCTCCGACATATATATGAACCAACAAAGTATAGTTATTTAAAATTTATTGTGAATTTATTATTTGAATGTTAATATGAAGAACTAACTTCAAAATGGAGATTCCCAATTTGGTTTATTTTAAATGTTCTTATGTGATAATTGTTCGCTGATTTTTGTTGAAATATTTCAGAATTAACTTTTGCCTTACGCACATAATACCTAAAAAAGTCAAAATAAATGTATATTTAAAAAAATATAGTAGAAAAAATATTTCTAAAAACAACTAACTTCATATTGTAGTTTTAATTAGTCTTTAACTCAAAAATAAAATGTTTTTATAAAATAGGTAAATCTTGCAACAAGTTTTTATATCATACTAGCGGCTCACCTTTGCTTCGCTCGGGTTTGTCGCTAGGTACGTTTTAAATAGATATAAATAGTTATTTTTCTTTCATAAGAAAGGTTCTTACAATAAGAAACATAATCCTGACAATAACAAACTCAACAAAAAAAATAGTTAAATCGGTCCAGCCGTTCACGCGTGATGGCGTGACGAAGGGAAATAGGGATTCAATTTTTTATAGTTATAGATAAATTGTGTAGTTTAATAAATTGATGGGTTTGATTTAGTTTAAAGTTTATTTTCTTGTTTTTAGAAAATTTAAATCAAACCCTTTTTTTTATGTTTTTTTGCTTTTAATAAAAAAAAAATTTTAGTTTTTATTTCATTCGTATTCTTCTCAGCGAACATTTCATTTGATACCCATATCATGATAGTGCATAAAAAAACATAGTCCGCCATCTTTGGGAGCTCGCCATATTGAATTTAGAATGACGTCACATACCTTACCATAATTGTCATCCAAACTAAACGTGTATGCAAAATTTCAGCTGAATCGATTGTGGATAACCATTTTAAAAAGATTTGACCCGAACTTACATACTATAACGGCAAGTTAAATAAAATCTTGTAATTATTTGTTTTATTTATATGATAATATAACATTCCTTTTGGACATCGATTACCATACCAGCTAGAAATCCGTAGTTCAAATAGATTGGGCTCAAATCTAATGTTAGTTCACACTTGGCAGGTGCAAATTGAGCGTGATGGGTGCGTGATATGTCCTTAACATACTCGAATCATTGTAGTACTGTAAACTAGTAGCTAGCCTCAGTTTTACTTATTTTTTATAATTTTACTTATATAATATTATATTCTTAGGCAGTGGTAGGCCAGTGGTAACGCTCTTGCTTTGAAAACCTAGTGAAGCGGGTTCAAATCCCGGGTCTCGCACCTCTGATATTTTCGTGTATGAATCATTTCTAACATGATTATCACTTGCCTTACGGTGAAGGAAAACGACGTGAGGAAACCTGCATGTCTGGGAGAACCTAGCAAGTTTTCAAAAGACTTGGCCAGCGTGGTGGACTATGGCCTGATCCCCCTCGTACTGAAGGTAGGCGCGTGCCCAGCAGTGGGACGTTAAAAAGGGCTGAACACAATATTATCTTACATAGTGTCAAGTTTTTACCTGCATTTTAAAATCACTTCAAACGTAGTTGACACTTTTTTTTTCAATGATTCCATCCAGTAAAGGAATTTTATAAACCACCGTTAAAGTACCTCTTTGGAAAAAACTAATTACGAAAAACAACATCATCGAATGTAAATTATTATCTAACGATGTCTATATGAAAAACTCGCCAAAAAAGTGTCAAAGTCAAAAATGATAGCACGATTTTGCTGTTTATCCTACATTAAAATTTATTTTATTTATTAAATTTTTACTAGATATTAGTCGTTGATTTACAAATAAAAATATTATTACTAGGTTCTTTTGTAATTTTAACCGACGAAAAAAAAGGAGGAGGTTCTCAAATCGACACGTATGTTTTTTAAGCAATAGTTCATTTCCCTTGAAAAAGCGATAGAGTAATATAAGCTTATTTCATAACTATATTTATTTATTATCAACATATGAATATTATTTTAATATTTGTATATTGTTTTAGAACATTATATTATATTATTTAAAAAAAATATTATTTGACTTCATGTTTAGTTTTATGATACTCTGTCTATATTAATCCTTAGTCTGAGAAAAAATATTAAATTTTTGTTAACAGCTCAATAAAAAAATATCAATGCAATCAATACCAGTAATTATTTAATATGGGAAACTAATAAAATAATATAAAATTAGCAATATTTTGCAAGCGTGAATAAAATGTTAACCTAAAACTCTATAGCTAATACAATTTCAATCTAAATACATCAATCTGGTGCTGCGTTAAATAAAGACCACCACCCAGAAACTCATAAACATATTATCGTATTAATAAGACTACTGCTATGAGAATATTATATGTATGTGTGTATGTTTGTTACTGCTTCACGCTGTAACGGCTGGTCGGATTTGGATGAAATTTACTGCACAGATAGGTGGATATTTGGAGTAACTTATAGGCTCAGGGGTGTTATAGACCGTGCGCAAGCGATCCTGTAATGTCCCATCGCACTGCGGCGAAGGGTTCCGCTATGGGTTTTAGTAAGTACGAGTCTCACAATACCCTGTCCGTTGACAATAAAAAAAAACATTGGCTACTGTTAGGTACATAGGAACGCACCGGAGCAAAGCGAGGGCTAGTAATTAATTATAATATACTTGTACCTCGTACGTACAAATATTTCTTATTTAATCTAACTTAAATGCGAGCAAATAAAGCTAAACAAATATTTGATGTACATAAGCGAGCATTACTCTATATTTGGTTATAAACACAACTAGTTTAAACTAGATTTTCATAGGAGATTTGAGACATTTTCATGTGGAATATTGAAAAGTTAAATAATAAATATATATGTTATATGTACACTTATTAACGTTTTAAGTTTCAGTTAGGTATACATAGCCATGCAATGCCAAGCAAGAATAAAATAATTGAAGGCATATAGAAAAAAACTTTATATATTTGACGACAAGTTTGGAGCAGTTTGTAGTGACCCTACTTGCTGTACCAGCGGTCGCCAGTTCGAGTCCCGCTGGGGGCATTCAACATGTGATGAGCGCGAATGCCAGGCCTCGTAGCTCACTATGGAACTAGATGGTGTTGTGTGCTAACGTCCCAACATATTTATTTATATAACACAATTTTCTTAGTTGATAGAAGAACATAATATAACATAGTTAACTCTTCACTTCGTTCTGTCAGTACGTACTCGAAAAATACGAGCCTTCTAACAAGTTAAATACTGATAGGAGTATCTAAGAACGCACTTAATCTAGATGTCTGTAGCGATCAAATCACAATCAACGAAGATATTGCTGAAGTACAAGTCAATATGAAATAATCGTCCATTTTATATAAGTCATTTATAGTGTCTATTTTATTTTGGTCCCCGAGTGTTAAATTTTGTGCTAAAAAACTTTTTAGGTAAAATAGGGTTGAGTATATTTTTTTTATACCAGATCGGTAATGAAATTGACCACTGTTGCATTAAGCTGGACTATGGATAGTAAACATATAATCTATAGATAATTATGAAAAATTTACTTGAGCAATTTGGTCGAATCTTCCAAAGAGTTCGTTTAAAGTTTTCACAAGGTCCGATGCGCTGAGTCTCTCTGACAACGGTGTGAAGTTCACGATATCCGCGTACAGGATGCTGACGTTATTGTGACGTTGCACGTGCATCTCGTGGAAGCGTGTTTGCTTCGAGCTGTCCGCACACGCGCTCGCCATTTTGAGCATGATCGACCGTTTTACCTGTAACAAGTATTTATTGTTTAAATTATATTCAGCTTGTGACTTTGAAAAAAAAATGTGTTCAAAATACAACAATATTTTAATCAGTCCTTTTTATAACCCATTTACAGCTACCATGGATATCGTATATGTCTGCATATGTATTTTTTTTATATTTATTTATATATAAGCTCATATTTAGATTGTTTAATATATATTCTTATTTTACTATTTAATGTTGCATAATAATTTCGTTATGTCCGTCTATCCAAATGTCCATTTTACTTGGAGGATATTGAAGCTATATTGTTGTAATTTGATGGGTAGTTGTGTTATGTATAATGCTACTACACCATTCTATCCAACGAGTGGGTTTTAAATGGATAGAGCTTTAAGACGAAGATGTCTTATGTGCATAAGACAGACTCCAATTCCTCGTTTTGTTTAAAACTACGTTTTGACGCTTAGTATGGAACAGATTTTTTTTATTTATTTTTTTCGAGAATTTTTTCGATGTTTGAATAGTGATTCTGCTATTCGGGGTGAAGAAAAATCCAACAAAATAAATATCACAAAAATCGGTCCAGCAATTCGCGAGTTATAAGTGTTGTAACAAACTCGACTTTGTTTTATATAATATATAGATTAAAATAGTACAGCAATAATTAATTGTACTTGTATTTAAGTATCAGATATACATAGATTTAGTTTCATTCTTTTATCTTGTAAATAAAATAAAAATAAATATAATTTTTTGTACATACACGTTATGATGTTTTTAATCACAGTTTTTCATTTTAGTCGATATAATATGAATATCCACAACATTGGTTTTCAATTAACCTTGCCGATTCATATAGGAGGTATCTACAATAGGCTTCATGTTATTGGTTATCAAAGAAATATTGATGAGTTATTTTTTTGTATTTATTAACATTTTATATACTTTTTATCATATTTTGACAATACGTATGGCTCAGTTTGTTCCCTACTTGCTGTGCCAACGGTCGTGAGTTCGAGTCCCGCTAGGGGCATTCGTTTGTGTGATGAGCACAAATGTTTGTACTCCAGTCATGAGTGTTTATATTTATAATATGAATGTATTTAAAGTTATATATGTGTAGTGTATCAATTATCTGGCAACCATAACAAAAGCCTCGCAGCTTACCATAGAACTAGATGGTGCTGTATGTTAATATCCCAACATATTTATTACATCATACATATATATACATTACTATTATATTATTTTTTATTATACTAATTTATATTAATTTTTTTACTGATTGCAATTATTTTCTTAGGTACGTTTTATTTGATAGTATTTTTCTTAAATTTAACACTGTCTATGAGTTAATTTAATTTATTCTGTACTAACAATTTAAAAACATATTTTATATATATATATATATATATATATATTCCCGACCAAACACGATTGTTTTTATTTCAAACCCAGAAAACCCCCAATATAATAAGTGCTGTATTTTTAAAAGTGACAGTTTCACTCGAACTACACTGTAGTTTGGCCTGACATCTGGTTTGGCCGGTAATATTATACACAAAAATTTAATCTAAAATTTCTGCATATGGATAATAAGCTTTTTCCATTAAGACTGGCTTTGTTATTTTCGCATAATTTACGATTAAATTTAAGTGAAAAACAAAAAACAGCATTTACTATTCGTAAAGCCAAATAAAAGTTACATGATTAAAATATAACCCAATTTTACAATTCTAAGAAGTCTTAACTTTCTAAGCTTCCCTAATAACTTTTGTTGACCAATTGTGAGACTTCAATAGCTTTTCTTATCGAAGGAAGTTATATAATATAACTTCTACCAAAATTATACAATACTAGCGACTCACCCTCGCTCCCCTCGAGTTCGTCTCTTGTTACGTTTTAACGTTTAGTATAGATTTCTCAGAGATGTGATATTTTTCCGCAGTAAAAAGTATCCTATATGTTGAGCCGGATAATCAATAATCAGCTATCATCGTACTAAATTTCATCAAAATCTGTTCAGTGGTTTTCTCATGATGCGGTCACAGACAGATAGACAGACAGAAAAATCTAATAACTACAGATTCGGCCTCTCTATCGATATTAATGACTATTTCAATAAGATTTTCCAAAAAACATTGAATAAACAAATTCGACTCAGAATTTTATTATATGTATAGATAGATAGATATTTAAATTATTACTATTTAATTTGATTTGTTTTGATATTTCATTCACATTTAAATTCAATTAGTTACAAGCAAAACTTCATAAACGGCTAAAGCTTGTTGCTATTAATATTTTAACAGGGACTTTATATAAAGAAATATTTACCTACTTTACTCTTACAAATTATAAGTATACCATACTAGATTAAAACTAAAAATGTTATTTACTAGCGATTGATCTTTGAATTGCTCCGCTCGGGTACGTCCCTAGGTGATGCTTTAAATTGACATAACTTTTTTATTTATAAGCCGATTGAAATAAAACAAATACTAAATGTTAGTTAAACTTAACACTATACAATAGTGAAAACCGTACCGAAATCAGTTAAGGCGTTTTTGAGATTACCACGCACAAACAAACGCACAGACAAAAAGACAAAAATTCTAAAAATCATTATTTTGCGTTCTATTGCGTTTATAAAGACCCCAATAATAGTTTTTCTCAAATATCTTCCACAGTAAGTACACCTACACATGCACACTTCCACATGTAAAGACAGCGATCAGTTATAATTTTCTTATATTATGTATAAGATGGTGTGTGTATGTTCATTCGATTGTTTTTTGAAGGTTTGGAGAATAATGTAAAATTTCTTTTATCTCCCACGTCATATTGAAACTTATTACTTAAATGGTTTTCTTGCGAAAAGCTTAAGAACGAGAAGCTTTTAAAGCTACGAAATGCATTTAAACATCTCGAAATGCATTTAAACGTCCGAGAAAAGGCAGTACCACCCTCTAAAACCCAACGATCTCCACCCTGTCTTAATGGGGCGCTACAAGAAAAGGGTCAGAGCTCATACTGCTGTTCATTGTACACACTACATCAATACACGACAGTTATATTGTACGAGTATATATAGTAATAATTAAGGTATGGACGGTATTAAGCATTTCTATACATTTATCTTCATTACACTCAATATTCATAAATTTCAGTCAATTACTAATTTAATTATTTATCACCATAAGCTATAGTCTTAGATAAGAGGGTCCGGTGAAAGGTTAGACGTACACGGTACATGGTATTCTAGTGCGTTGAGCAACCCATGGTTGTTGTGGTCTGCTTCGACAGGGCTGCCGTCGCGTCGGGGCGTCGTAGTTGAGTGCGTATGCGATTCTGCGATTTGTCTTAACCCCCTTCGTTCCGTTGGGTTTAAGTAGGTAGTACTGGCTTTACCGGTAAGTCCCACACCTCGTGTTCATATGCATTTCCGAACGTTAAAAAAAGGTTATCCTGGTGCGTGCGTCTCAGCACTCCATTTTCCATGCTTTTTTTTTAAATATTTGGGAAACATACAGTACAATAATGCTTAGAATTAATCATATATAAATAATACATAAACCAGCGAAGTTTCCACTTAAAGATATAACATAAATTAGAGCACAAGTGACAAGACAAAATTGGTATAAGGCAATTGATTATTTAAAGTTAAAATTAATAATAATAATAATAACAATCAGAATACAATAATGAAAACATTAATAAATTTTAATAATATTTAGTCATTAAACTATATTTGGAGAATAAAGATACATTATAAAATAAAATGAAAATGAGATGAGAATGTTTTGTAATACTTAGATTAATGAGTATATTTATATCCATTTTGTTATTACGAATTAAATAAATAAATTAATAAATTAAAACTATTAGTGAAATAAAATAGTCAATAAAACAATGCAATTGCAGTCAATTCCAATTGATTGCTTTAATCAATGGCCGAAGGTTTCCTAAGTACACGTCATCTGTATATAGGCTAATGAAAACAGAGGTCTGACTGGATAAACACATCCCAAGTAGTGTGGGCATTATTTTAAATTCATTTCGCAATTAGAGTAATATTATGTATATTGAAAGTTTCTATGCGTGTTTATTATTAATTATTGACAGATTTTGATGAAATTTAGTACACTAAGTTCTAGGGTAATACCGTTGAGTAAAACACCTAGAGCGCACCCAAGCTAAGTGAGAGTAATACATCCGATAATTTTAAATAAAAATATCTTTTAATATTTTCTTTTTTTGCTTGAAAGCGTTTGAAACATCAGAAACCAAACATCAAAATGAATCCCTGAAAAATTTCGAAAAGACTTTAAAATGTCAAATATTCGAGTAAAGAAAATATTATCAATAGATAATGATAATAATTATTTACTTAATAGGAAGCTTTTAGAATAAAAACCATTTACCTTTATGGCCTGTGGGATTATTATTATTTAGGAGTTAATAAATAACGATTCGATTTTCGTCCGCTGAATCCCATCTTTATCAACCGACTTCAAAAAGGAGGAGGTTCTCAATTCGACTGTATGTTTTTTTTTTTTTTTTTTATGTTTGTTACCTCAGAACTCCGTCATTTATTAACCGATTTGGACAATTTTTGTTTTGTTTGAAAGGGTATACTTCCAGATTGGTCCCATTTAAATTTCAAAAAAAAATACCACCCCTAAGGGTGGAAAAACAACGAATGATGAATTTAACCTATTTCTAATTGTCATATTGACTTGAAACTTTGCAAGTATTTCTATTTCCGTTGATAGTACAGTGGTTCAGTGTTGTTGACCTGATCTGATGGCAAGGCCAGAAGGTGGATAGGTGGAACTCTTCAACGGCTAATAGTAGATACTTTGAGTTTGGGCTTATTTTGTTTGATTTGACAAGCCTAACACGTTAGAATCCTTACTTTGCTACTACTGTATACACTAAAAAGGGAAAAATAAAAACTTTTTAACAAAAAAATAAAAACTGACTTCAAAAAAAAGCACTAAAA